GGTAGAATTCACGTTGCCATCGATGAGGCCCGTGTTCGATTCACGATGATGCACTCATTTTTTGTTCTTTTTGTTTCCCTCCCAACCAAGTACATGCTCTTTTATCTATATATACCCAGTATCACCTATACCTATACATACTCCATGTCTACAAATAGTACGGTGTGTCTAACTAACTCTTAGACTTAACACAAATAGCAATCCCACCCAACACAAGCACCATCCCCAACCAAGTTTCCTTCTCAATCACCTTCCGCTCCACATACCACTCGCCCAGAACGGTGAAGAGAAACGCACTCGAATTAGCCAGCGGAACCGTCAGGGAGAGTTCTATGCTCATCAGCAAACGGCCATATTCAGACACCGATCTCCATTGTGAAAGAGAGAGAGAGGGAAAACCACAGGTACGTACCATGTTTCCCAACAAGGAGGAAGAACCAAATACTGCCCGTCAAGTTGATAATCAAGGGTACCGAGTACGCGGGCGTGCGGAGGAGATTGACGACCGTCCAGAACAGGGATGTGATTTTCGTCTTCAGCCAGCCTGAGGTTGAAGGCGATGGGCGCATCCAGGAGGGCTGTTGTTGTTGTGTTGTGCCTGTGGCAGAAGAAGCTGCTGCTGCTGCTGGTAAGGGGTGGTCTTCATCGTCGTCTGAGGTTTCGGGTTTCGGGTCCGTGGGGTCTTCGGTTGTTTGCTGCAGTTCTTGTGCGTCGGGTTCGGGGTGGGGTGCTTGGGGCTGCGAGTGTTGCTCCTGGCGCGCGTTGAAGTCGGCGGCGGCGCGGCGGATGAAGGGGGTTGTGAAGCCCCATGCTACGCCGACTAGGAGGAAGGAGAGGATGTAGTTGAATACCGGGGGTTGGTCCGGGGTGATGCTGGCGTCGGGGTCCATCCTTGTATAATTCGGGGTATGTGTTGGTGTTTGATTGCCAGGTTGGCTCGTTGGAATTGAGTTGTGGAGTGCGGAAAGGGGAGATTAATTAAATTGGGTCCTGATAAGATAGACTTTGTGGATACGTTTTAGCTGCATATGTTAAGGCGCTAGTATATGTACTGTATTGCGGGTCTGGTGTTTGTGGTGAAACACCTAGTCTGTATTTTACTCTGTCGTATATTTTATTTTGCTAAGTATTTGGTGTGTACTCTGCTCAATTATTCTGGATATGTATATCATGTGTATGAATGATCTAGCTAACCGATTTATCAAACTGACGCTTCCTTGTATATACTAGGATATATAATTTGACTTATTCGGCTATGAAAATACACTCGATGCCGTCATATGAATATTACATTCATACAACAACGGAGGCTGCTTACTTGGAGGGACGGATGAGGATAATTATGATAACAATCCCACACTATCCACGGCTGGAGCATACTCAGAACTATCCTATAGTTAAAGCACCTAAATTAAAAAGACATGAGAATGCGCAGCAAAAAGTTTGAGCCAACTCTGAAGTGCAACCTCTAATGTAAAGTCCATCGTCATGTGCACCTATCCGGGGACCCATTCCGAGATATTTCAACGGAGAGACACCCCACCAGTTAGGAAAAAAGGACTCCATAGGTGCCGTTGGTGTACATGCTGAAAAATTATGAGGACAGAGCTTAGGGAGGCAGACCCATCATTGTCCGATATCACCACTGAAGCTATCGTCGACTCGGTGTGCATCGTTTGGTCATTTTTTGGTTTTAACGGATTCTCAACAGGTTGCATGCTTATTTTGCACACGAGGCTTGGTATGTCAAGTCAGACGTGTTTAGCAGATTCTTGTTCGTTGCAGCAGCAACCCACCGAAGGAGGTATAGCCAAATTCATAGAAACAAACGATAGATATCATCACATCCGTAGGGATCTTTCGCACCCTGCCACATTAGGTAGTAATCTTATTGGCGCAGGCGACGTAGTGCTACTCAGTTCCCCCTACGGAGTACTAGTGATGCGGACCGTCGCCCATTATGATCCCAGGCAGTCTGTCATGCTTACATGATATAAGTGGCCAGTTCTGAATTGCATAAGTAAATAAGCTCAATTCTATAAAAACGAACCGTGCTGGGGTAATCATGAATGATCTTTTTCTCCATTCTCCATGAGCCAACGCACACTCCGCTCAAGGCCTTCCTGCATTCCCACTTTAGGTCGATACCCAAGCACTCGTTTGGCTTTGTTTCCATTCAGCGTGCGGATAAGGGTACTAAAGCGTATACCCTCACGGGTCATATTGGCAGGTTTAGTGCCGCCGGAAACTATCCACGCAACCCACTCATTGATGAATCCGAGCGTCAATCCAACCCATTTCGGCATAACCACAATATCCTCCGGCCGGATTTGGTTGCCCGTGAGGGCGGAAACTGCTCGCTGGAAGTCCCAAAAGAGCCAGGGGTCTTCATTTGTGAGATGGAAGCACTCGCCATCGACACGGGTAGATGCGTCTGCCGGGGGAGGCTTGCCCCAGGCACTGAGAAGGGCACGAGCGGCTAGGAGGTGTGCATCTGCCAGGTTTCCCACGTAGATGCAGTCGTAAGGGTTCTGACCATTGCCCATCTGGAACCGGGACTTGCCTTGGCGTGCGACGGCAAACATTTTGCCCAAGGTGCCGACGTCGCGTTCGCCGAATACCAGACAGGGTCGGATGGCGCAGGTCAGGATGCCCCGATCATCCCGGCCGCCATTGCGATTGGCAGCTTTGATGGCGTCTTCTGCATCTGCTTTCGCGATGCAGTAGAGTCGCTTCTGGCGCGGGGGGCGCAATATTGGCATTTCCTCTGTGGCATCAATGAGATCAGTGTGGTTATCGTTGATAACGCCCGGGGTTGAAGTGTTGATTAGGGCTCGCACGGTGTTCACCTCCACAGCCGCATCTAGGAGGTGGTGTGCGCCCTCGACGATGATGCGGTGGTAGGCTGACTCCGGGGCATCGGAAAACTCGGGAGATGCAGTGTGGAAGATGGTCACAGGGCGCGCGATCTGCATGATGCGCTGCACATCCTCGACACAGGCCAAATCGCCATGGTGGTAGTGCACATTCGGATTGGGATGGCGGTTGCGGTCGATGTTCACGTCGATTGAGTGGATATTGCAGTCAGGCTCCTCCTCGAGGATTTTGGCGATGATATGGTAGGCTATGAAGCCATTGCCGCCGGTAACAAGAACAGGTCCGATGCTAGACATGCTTAGGATTAGCAAATTGATGGGGGAAATTGGAGGAGAGGAGAAGGAAGGGAAGTTGAGGGCAGAGAAAGTCAGGGGGGCGGAATTGTTGGTGCTTACGGGCTACAGGGACTTAAATTCCTACCAGTTGCTTGAGCTTCCCGTTTAGATGGAACAAAGTCCGCATATTTGTCTGAATCTCTTGAAATGCTTGAAATGCTTGAATTGATCTAGAATTATATTTTGGGTCGCAATCGTGTGGTACGCGAAAAAGAAAAAATATACAAATGCGCTTTTCCACTCCCAACTCAGTCTTAACGCTGTTTCTTCTACTAAAAATATCCAGTCTAACACGAGCACAGGGTATATCCACTGGACAAAAACCAGATGGAATTCCGGATTCTACCACTTATATAGAACGGGGCTAAAGCCGACTGGTGTGAGGTTTACTTCTCTAACCTTGATAGTTTTGACTGACTAGCCACTCCGAATCTGTCCCCAGCATTCAAACATCTGAAGTTGTGTATATCGGAGTTAGATAGACAGTTAAGGCTTCAATTAAGACTGACCGTGAAGTTTTCGGCCAATCTAGGGACCGCTTCGTCGTTGTCGTCCAAAATGACAGCCTGTTGCTTTGGCTTCCCTGGACAGTCATGGGCTCCGCCGGTGGTCTTGATCCATCCTCCACAAGCAGAGCAACGAACAGCCATGGTTACTCAGTTATGGCCAAAAGAGCTAAATCAGGGGCTTTGAAAGAAGAGGAGAAGTACTCAACCTAGTGGGAAATATTAGGTCTTCGATTCGAAAATAAGAGTCTGAGAGAGTCAGTGGAGAGCACGACGTATCTGTATCAAAATGCTGGATCACACGGTGATATTGGCAGCGGAGGTGATTGCTTTGAGCAACTGCAACAAGGTATGAGCCTTGCTTGACTTTCATTGGCTTTACTCCCATCTCCGAGATGCTCACTTTAGGGCCGTGCGTCCACGCCATTGTCTACCCTTGGTTGTCTGGAACCACCTTTCTTCCCAAAGCTCTTGCAGCCCGTCTCGGTCACCAACAATGGATCCATATACCACTGAGCCAGAACACATCCCGGCCACTGACTTGTACGCGGACATTCCCCTCTACGGATGGTATCGCTCTAAACCCGGCGATTTTTCTGCCAGGCTTGAGTATGTCTCCTGCCAATCCCCCCGAGGCAATGCAGTACTGGGAGTCAGTCCTGAGCCTCTGTGAGGGGTCTACTCAAATATACCCTGCCGATGAAGGTGGTCGGGATGTGTTCGCGCTGGGGAACGTCATTGTTAAATCAAGTCATCTCCATGGCACGCAAGAGATCGATTATTCCTTCGCCGACGCCAATGAGGTCAAGGCCATCCCGGTTGCCAGGAAGGTACTAAGAGATATCAGGGTACCGGAGATATACTTCGCAGGCAAGGTATGTACTCCCTAGGCGCTTTGTTCCCTGAATACTTACACGACATTAGATACGGGGCCGCCAAGTGCTGATCCAAGAAAGACTCCCCGGTGTCGCTCTGAATGTTGCATGGCCTTATCTTTCACAACTCCAGAAAAAGTCCTTCAAAGAGCAGGCGCGGGCGATACTTCAACAGCTTCATACCATCATGCCTCATGATGGACGGCAGGCTCGGTTCCATGTTGTATCAGACCCTAACATCCTCTGTAACGGCCGAATCAACCCCCTGGAAGGAGAGATTCTTTTTGCCGACGCTAATCATGACGCGGATTTGAGTTTTATGCATAATGACTTCACCCAATCCAACTGTATTGTGGATAGAGACAGAATCGTGGGACTTGTCGATTGGGAAATGGCCGGGTTCTTCTGTTGGAAGACGGCTGGCGAAGTTCATAGAAGAATCCGAACTCCTCAAAGGGAACATTTCGTGAATGCATCTCTGAGTGAGGATAGACTGCAAGATATCATGTTTTGGAATGATCTCTATGATTGAGTTTTGTTTTTTTGGATTTCCAGGGTAGTAGATGTCGTTTCACGAGCAACCACAGGACTGCCGCAATGTTCTTAGGGCTTCAAATTCCGTGCTAGAGGACGGTGATATACATTTCTTTTCGATTTTCAGCCAAGGTTTAATATATGAACTAGAGCATTTGGATTCTAATAGCAAGAGCTAGCGCTAGCTTTGCTCTTTAGGAATACCTTTAGGCAATCCATCAACTCCCGCTTGCCTCGACCAAATGGCGACAACGGAGAGAGGATAATTCATTTACTCCAAAACCTGTGCCTATGGAGATCATGGCCTCAGTGCGCATGACGTAGCAGATATCGTCTACAACCATAGATTAGAACATGGAAGAGGTTTCATAGAGCGTTTAGTGTATAATATAAACTTGTCAAATACTGTCTTCATTGATAATACGTGTACATGCTTTGTAGTACTCAGCTTGTGTAATTGCCACGATACGACCACGCCAATTGCCTCAATGTCTGACCATATATGTATGCTTCCTCGGCTGTATTGACCAAATCTTGCCGCCAGTATTCTAATAGCTGCGAGTAATAAAACTGTGTGAACTTGATTTAGGCTCAGTCAGAAACTCTATGTCCCCCCAGATATCAGATTCAGTAGTGATCATGGTCTCTAAAGAGGTGGTTTTTAAGACGGTAAAAACGGCCGAATTAACATCCAAAGACGGTAAAATCTCGGAATCGGACTAGTCGATAATCCGGAACTTTTCAGCATAAGTCAGAGAATATAATTGGTCGATGTAATAGTGTGTGTTCGCCTAAACAACTACACCATGAACGGCCTTGGAATGAGTGCAAACGACACTATCCATCTGTCAGCCCTAATACAGCCCCTGACCGACTGCACAGCCAGAGCACTCATCGAGGAGATAACAGATAGCAAGCACCTTTCCAGGGAATGGGAACGCATACAGCCAATATCCCCTATTCAACCCGCACCGATGGGTCATGGACAAAGACCGGGATGATGCTAAACCCAGAGCCTTGGACTTCACAGACGCTGATGTCACCTTTGTGATTTGGGGGCTGGGAAAACGGACATGTCCCAGTTGACATTATGCCTCGCTTCTCTTAATCTCTTTCTGGCACATGCTCTGCTATGATCTGAACATGTTGGACCACAGACTATAGACCATAGTACACAGGAAACAAGGTACTATCTATCTCTATTGGTATTCTGCAATTGCTCCAAAGGCCAGGGCGATGTTACATTTTCGAAAACGAACTGAATACTGGCAATCGAGTATTTGATAAGGTCTATACCCTGTACACCTAGAAACATGAACATAAGGAAGCCAACTATCTCACTCTATCAATCTACCAGAAGAATCCTACCTACTCCGTAGTACTAGTAGAAAAGATACTCCACAAAAACACCATACCCAATCAAGCCCCCGACCAGAAACCAACCAAGGCTAAACCCGAACCAGCGCCGCTTCAAAAGAAAAAAAAAAGGCATGACGTAATCAAACCCAACCACCTCCGACTCATTAAACAAACCTAAGTAACTACAACAACTCACATCACACGCCCTAACTAAACCTAACCAAAAACCCTCCAAAAGAAAAAAACGAAATAAAGAGCAGCCAAAATGGTCTTCCGATTCGTATGTCCCAACTCTACCTAAACCCCAATTCCTATCCGATTGAATCCTGCCCAATTCAAATTCAACCAATCCAAATACCTCTTTCTTCTACCCCCCCAAAAGAATAAATAATCACCAACCGATTGATTGATTGATTGATTGAACTAATTAATATAAAATAAACAGCCCAAAACCCTCGACCCCATAACCCTCTTCCACAGTCCCAGCGCGCCGGCGTCGCAAAACGCCCTCAAAACGTTGCAACGGGCGCTCGCGGCCGCCGAAGCGGGCGAGCCGCAGACGACCAAACGGGGCGAGTTCCAGCTGGAGGTGACGACCGAGGCGCCGACGACGGACCAGCTGCGTAATATCCTGGACTATGTGACGGCGGATCCGGCGGGGGCGGGGAGTAATCGGATTGTGTATGGGGTTGAGCAGGTTGTGAAGGGGGCGAGGAATGCGGAGGATGCGGTCAAGAGGTTCAAGGAGGATGGGGGACAGGGGTTTGTTAGGCCTATTGTGAGTCTTTTTTTTCTTTCTTTCTTTCTGCTTTGCTTTGCTTTGGGATTGGGGTTTGATTGAGGGTTTGCTAATGGGTCTTCTTAGACGGTGGATTGGACGAATGGTCGGGCTGTGCTTGGGGATAATGAATCGGAGATTCTGAAGATGGTGCATCAGTTGGATGTCGACTAAATTGTTTCCTTCCATGTGGAGAATTTGGCTACAATTTCCTGGTATGACTTGGTTTGAATATTTGGATTTCGTTTTATCAGTCTACGATACCTCTATGTATCATACAAGCAATTACACTCAACTCCAGACCATGACCCTTGACCCGGTAATGCATACAGTCAGACATGAACATTAAACATATACTCGCTCATCAAATCCAGTCATGGCCAATTCGAGATCCAGCTCGTACCGTGCTAGTAAGGAGGGAAGAAAAAGATGAAGAAGGGAAAAAGATACGCGTTAAAACATCGTCCCGAACGACCCATCCGTCGCAATAGGTTTGCGCGGTGAGCTGCGTCCTCCGTCCATGGCCGGTTTTCGATGCCTACATCCGTTCATTAGAAACCATGTGGTGTGGCCCATTTCGGGGCGAACGTACCTGAATGTGAACCCGACGAAGAGACCCTTGCTCATCTTCTCGTCTCGCTCTGCCATTTCCTCCAATGCGCGTTGCTTGTCATGGACCTCCTTGTACTTGGCCATGTCCGCTTCGCTGGTAAAGTCGTCGAAGTAGCCTGCGTCCGTCTCCGAATCCAGTTCGGGTACAAACGGCGCACGCTGCTCGCGCAGCCGGTTGAAGTCAACCTCTGCAAAATAGTCATGGGCGTGAATCTCCTGGATGTTCTTGAACCGTCTCTCCTTCGAAGCGACCAACTTCGTGATCAGATCCCATGTCCGTCGCGACAGGAAGTAGTTCGGGTCTCATATACTGGTTTGCGCAGCACCTTTTGCCAGTTCTTCAGGTTCTGCCATGTCTCATCGACCGTGGCACCGGCAAAAGGTGGGTATCCCGCCAGGGCCTCAAACAGCATGCACCCCAAGCTCCAGTAGTCGACTGTGAAATCATACTGCTCGCCCTTCAATACCTCCGGCGCCATGTAATCTGGCGATCCAACGATAGACTTGGCGTAGTTGACTTGACGCTCCCGGAGCGTGCGATATCCCTGGCGTCGCTCGGCCATCGTACGCTGCTCCATCGGACGACCGAACGGCACTGGCGTGTTGCCCACCTCCTCCAGCTTCACGCGCATGGATTCGATCTTGCCGGGGTTCAGCATGCCTGCCGCCAGGCCAAAGTCGGTCAGTTTCACGTGGCCCGTGGAGTCGATCAGGAAATTCTCTGGCTTCAAATCGCGATGGATATACCCCAGCGCATGCAGGGCGTCGATGCAGCTGAACATCTCACTAATATAGAATCGCGCGTGGCGGTTGTGCAGGACTCCCGTATTGTTGAGCAGTGTGCGGAAATCTCCACCGGGCACATACTCCATCGCAAGGTAGATTTGGTCCTCGTCCTGGAAAGCGTAGAGGAGCTTGACTAGCCAGTCACTCTTGGCGGCTGTCAGGATGTCGCGCTCGGTCAGAATATGCCGAATCTCGTCCAGTTTAAACAGTAGCTTCTTGCTCATAACCTTCAATGCGCACACTTCCCGGGTATCCTTCTTCTGCGCCAAATACACCTGTCCATAGCCACCCTGGCCGACCTGCGTCAGGATCTGGAAATCGTGTTGGCGGAGACGGGTGCGGCGCTTGCGGAGGTGGGCCCGTTCCCGACCCAAATATTTGAGGAGGGCCGGCTCGTAGTCATCCATGGGAGTTGCGGGCGGCTCCGGGTAGGCCGTTCGGAACTGAGAGTAGCGAGTTTGGCGATTGTGCACATAACTGAGTAGGTCAAAATAGTGGTCGAGGAAATCTAGAAACGGTTAGCAGGCCCGATCCCATCAGTTCACAATGCGCGCGGGACACCTACAGAGCTGTGTCACGTTTACCAATCGTTTTACCCGAGGGTTCTGCAGTTTCTCCATCTCCTCCGGCGTCAACCCCCGCATCTGCACCTGACGTCTCTGGATGCTCTCGACATCGCGTGGCTGATACGGCTGGTGACGAGAGATGGCGGCCGCAGCGGGATTTGGGCCCAAGTCTTTGCCCACCCGCGTCGGACTCGGTGGTGTATTCTCCTTATTTGCTTTGCGCGTCGGACTCCCTGGGGGCTGTCGAATGACGCTCTCACTGAAGTCTTCCACCGATTTTTTCGGAGAAAACATGGGGTGGCTGTAATGGTCGTAGGTGCCCTTGTTGGGCGAGGTGGGGTTGAGCTTCATCGCTTTATCGAAGACATTTGGTAGATCTAGGGCGCCCGGGGGAAATCTGTTTTTGCTGGGACTGCCCTGCGGCGTCTGAACCGGACTGGTAAATCCATCTGCGAAGGTGTGGAGGGGCGATCCAAGGACTCGTTGCCCGAACGGGTATGTAGTAGGGGAGGGGGGTTGGGCAGCCGGAGCGCTGGTCGATCGCTCGACTCGCGGGCGAAGTTGAGTGTCATGACCACGAGAGGATAATTATTCGAACACGTTGGATCTGATCAAACAAGTAAATCTGGCCGACGACCCCTTTGATAAGGGCGAGCCGAGGGGTTGCTGCTGTGTTTTTCCGCTGGTCGCGAGAGGGGGACCCAAAAATGGCAGAAAAAAAAGAAAAGAAAAGCAATAAATAAGAAAAAGCAAACAAGTTGCACGAGCCGTGGAAATATCGGTGAGAAGAGGTTCACAAAAAAATAAAGTGAAACCCACTCAGAACCAGGAAAAAGCAACGAGCGGTACAAAGAACGCGGGAGCCGTCCAGAGCCACTGCCGTTGAAAGTCGGGTACCGATGTGAAGAATGGCTTTGTTTGACAGGGGGGTTTTGAGAGAGAGGAAAAGACGAGGGACAAAGACCAGAAAGGAGTCACACTCGCTAATGGATCTCTCGTCCTGGGATGAATAGAATAGTTTTGAGATTGTGGAGGAGATCAAAAAAGAGACAGGGAGGGGAAGGGAAGAGAGAGAGACAGGGATATGGAGATTGAAGCTGAGAGCTGAACAACTAGTACTAGACCCCAGTGGAATACCTGAGGGCCTGAGGCCGGAAGCGCCTGCAGCCAGCCACCCAATGGCTTCAACTTCTCCCCACAGTCTCTGGACCAACCGGAATGGCTGGTGGATGCTTTAATTTCTCCTGCGCTTGCCCTACTCGCCCGTTGCTCCGGTAACTCCCTTCCTTCGATCCCTCTAGACACGGTCGATCCAGATGCACCTGCCGGATTTCCCAGGGGACAATTCGAGTTTATCGGCTCGGCCGTCAAGGCACAGCCTGCCGATTGGACTATCCCGTCTCTTGGGAGTGATCGATGGATCAGCTTAGGAGATTTTGTGAAGGTGTGGGTTTCTCATCCTGCAAGTCATCGACCTAGGATCCGCCTGAGAAATCCTTCCACTCTTCCCTGGCCAAAGAAAGAAAAGAAAGGAAAGTAAAAAAAAAGAAAAATATAAAACAAAATAAAATAAAATAAAATAAAAAAAACCAGATCGTGAGTGGATGCTGACGATCGATGCGGCTGAAGTCTCCGTGGCAAGTCTAGCCCGAGTCCTCCCTCTTAGCGAGGGGTTTGGATGAATTACCGATGGTCATTCAATCACAACACGACCGCATCCAGAACCGAACCCTTACCTACCTATACACAGATACAATTTCCACCGTGTTTAATGACGGTGTGGGAGAAACGGCTATGTAGCTTGTACCCTTAGCCTCGGCCGTTTACGGAGGTCTATGCATCGAGCCGTTGTAAACAAACGGACGTCATTTCACAAGGAGAAAAGTGGGGACACCAGACTAGTTAAAAGTGATTCCATGGAATTGAAATTAAAAAAGGAAAAGAAAAATGCAACCCTCGTTCTCGATCTAAAAAAACCCAAGCGGTCGTCATCGACCCAGTAGATCCATGAAACCCATCCCTCGTGAATATGCATGTCAGCTTCAACAGTTACATCTTGGCCCGTTGTCCAGTCTACCAAGCACCGATTAGCCATATTCACCACTCATACAGTCGCACACTCAACACGCTAGCTTCCAACCAACTTTAAAAGAAAAAGGGAGAGTTGAACTCACGAAAAACGCCAAGCCGTACGACGGCGTCGTGAAGGTGATCTTCGATCCCTTCGGAAAATAAAAGACATCCCCCGGACCCGCCGTAACCTTCTGTCCGGTCTCGTCCGAGATCTCAAATTCACCCTCGAGGATGATCTTTGTCTCATCGAAATGGTACTCGTAGACTAGCGGCGTGCCTTTCTCCAGGCGGTAAAAACCGCCCGAGATGGGCTTTTCGGGATCATTGTGTTCACTAAACGTGGTACAGATTCCGGGTTAGTCTCCAATGGTTGGGTTGGAATGGCGGGAATGGAGGCTTACCTCGAGACTATGTCCCCCAGGTAGGCATTTTCGTTTGCGATGAGGGGTGGCTTGAAGGTGGACTGGGCGTTGGCGAAGTAGGTGAAAGCGCCAGGCATTTTGCTTGAATTTGCGGTTATCCAAGATAACAGTTGTTATTGTTATTGTTGTCGTTCGTAGAGATCGAGAATTGATCAGTGGACAGTGTGGTTCACATTTCGATCAGATCTGAAGCACCGGATCTATGGCTTTATAACGTCAAACATAATACTCCTCAATTCGGAGCTTTCATCGCACGCCATCACACAGGCAGTATACCATCGGATCCAGCTGCTGGAGTCGGATACAGGAAGCGCCCCGGAAAGATATAGTCAAACACATAGGAAGCTGTTTACTCGAGACTGAGGGGTCGTGAGGGGAACCCGTCGGATCAATATACTACGATCGACCTGGGACTCTCCGTGATCGTACCTTGATAGCGAGTGATATATTGCTTACTGGAAGCCACTGAGGGATTGATAGCAATTGGTTGGTGAGTATGAATGAAGATTAGTCAGGTTAGGGAAGTTCGCCAGTGCTGGATTGTTTTGCCCAGATGGGTTAGTGTTTCCCTGTCTTTCATTTCTTACCGTATCCTATCGCATAAAGCCAATTAGATTGGTTGAAATAAATAACTAGTCGGTATTGCCAATGAGACCAGTCCATAGCACTATAAAAGGGCAGTTTACCACGCGGACCCATTGAAGCACGAACAAGACTCAAGCAATATAAGGTTAAATAACCATCATTATCTACCGCGTCGATCATCATAATGTCATAATCCATGCACAATACAATGCAACACCATTGACCCCAGATATCAGAAAACCCCCGAAATACAAAAGAAATCAGATCGCCCGAAAAGACTGCAATTTGTGCTCATTGGCTCCGCAAATCCGAAACTCCTTCCTGGGACCGCAAATCAGAGACTCCTTCCTGAGGCCGCAAATCAGAGACCCCTTCCTCAGGCCGCAAATCAGAGGCTGCTTCCTGAGACGGAGCCGACTTCTTCCTGCAATCCCAGCGAAAAAGAAAGTAAATCGTTAGTTCATCTCACCCAGACAAAGAGCGAAAAAAAAAGGACCAATAAGAATCGGAAACAAGCCTCTCACTTACTTGCTGCGTCTCCATTCATCTATATCCTTTGCCATGTTCCCCGCACCACTCGATCTCCTATCCGGATGATCATTGTGAGAGCGACCGAAGTTCCCCAACAGGAAGTTAAACGCTACACGAAGAGCACATTAGTAAAGTCCCCCCCTTTTACAACCAATCCCATGGCATTCTAGGAGAGGAAGAGACGTCACTTACCCCGTTGTGGTGTATGGTCCTCGTCATCCTTAGATTCTTCGTTGGAGGACGTGGATTTTCTCCGCTTCTGTTCCTTACTAAGGTGGCCGAATTTCGAGAGAAGATCCATGATGTATTATACAGTACGGAAGAGAGAAGAGGAGAACAAACGGTTATACTTTGAGGTCTGATGTATCACGACGAAAATCACGCTCTGGATAGTAATAATATGCAGAAGCAAAGGTTTCCCAAGCACAGTGGCGGTCGAGGATTCGCATATAAATACGGCGCTCCGTCACAGCGGCCTGCATGACATCATAAAGTCATGCGCCGAGCTAGCCCTCACCCAATAAGACTCCCAACAGGACCCCCCAATTCCCATCTGCACAAAGGATTAAAAATCATCCTCGTTCCCGACAATGGAGGAAAGAGAAATCATTCTGGCCCTGACAGAGTTCCACGAGCGACTGGCTTGGCAGACGGTTCAACAAATGGGGATCCCGCGACGGTCGATATGACGCATGCCATGAATCATGACCCAACTCTCCAGCGATGAGACTTGAGATTTCCGCACTCAACCTCGGCTTATGTCACGGTCAATCAAGAGAAAGGAAGCTTTATGCAGGCAAAGCGCACGAGACGGGATCGGCAGGAATGTACCTCGATCAGTCATGGTGGCAGCGCACGGGACTTTCAGGGTACGACGTCCTCATGATGGTATTGGACGGCATGGATCGACCGCGTGTGCTCTGAGTATGGATGTAGTATGTAGTACTATCAAAGACGAAGTCAGCACGTCAGCACTGGGATGGATCAAGTAATCTCCCTCGATCACCATGGGGGGGATCGAAGAGAATTAACCAATCTACATTTTGAGATATTCGCCAGAATTATACTCTATTACACCGGTCACGGGTATCAGTCCACGGAACCCCAATCACACTAGACGATCTGTCGAAAGAGGAACCCGAAATAAAGCGGACTAATTAATGGACGTGAACCGTCCAATTTCCGGCCTAATTATGGGCGCCGTCCAATGCCCCCACCCGGGGTAAGATCACCCTTTCCAGTATGCCGACAATACCTCCCAAGGCTCCTCAAATACTACTCAATACTGCAATCCTCTCCTGTTCCGGATCAGATCATCCGCGGTCCTAGTTAATTGGATGTGTGATTACGAATACGTGCCCTCAGTGTGTGATTCCAACATTTGCACTCCCCCTTTAAATCCCACACCGCCCCATCTCTCTGTCTCTCGTTTCTTTTTCCTCTTCTTCTTCTTCCTCTATTAGTTCCTTCCCAACCATCATTACGAACGCTTCCTCCCCCGTTCGGTCCAACTTCCACTCAGCCCAAGCAACAAGACGAGGCCAACACTGTTCATGACGGCACCCACCTCGACGCAGCAGACACCCAATGCAGAACGCGATTCGTATCAATCCCGCGCAGATACCTCCCTTCTATCACGGTGGGACTGACGATTCCTCCTGAACGACCTACTTCCCTTGGCGGTTTTGATCGGTTGCCAGTGCCAGAGAGTAATCCGATAGATTGTTGTACATACATATACGGCATACCCGTTTCTTTTGCTTCCCAGTTGACGATATATTATTACCTCCTGCGGGACCCGTACCCCAGCAGCCAACCGCGCCCACTAGCTTACGACATTTCCCATACGGAAAGCAGGCCTTTCTGTTCGCCTAGCACGCCTCTGGACACCAAAGAAATCTATTCTCTCCCATGCGCCATTGTGTTCGCAACGTAAAACCCTGAGCTTGCTTCTACCAAGCGACCCAAAATCCACGTCAATGCCCGGAAAACACCAGAACCTAGCCATCGCAACTCGAGGCTCCGCACTCGACCTGTGTTTAAGCCCAAGTCCGTAACTTCTCCTGGAATAGCCAAACGCCATGCTGATTTGCACACCAGATAGTAAACACTCAGTTGCTACAAGACAGGCAAACGCCGTCAGAAAACTGAATCATACAAGAACAAAGCCCTTGCGCCCTTTGGCAAAAATGGCTACCGTGTCGATAACAAGCGATCTAGAGCCATATCTGGCTTCCCTCCGCAGCTATTTAGCTAGAAACAGACCCGCGTCCCCCGGGTTGGAGGACCGGGTCGACGAGCAATCGAAATGCTCGTCCAAACATCATGGCACAGAGCATTCACAGCCACGCGTGGAACGCCCCCAAGGTGCGAAAAACCACGAGAACCTTGGCGGTAGCCGTGTTATGACGCAGGATCGTTCATAACCGCGTGATGAAAGCCTGAGGCCATGTTTCTCTCTGTCGGGGTTGATTTCACCCAAGAAATACTATATATATGATGATTGAGTTGTTAGTCTCTTCCCAAGCAAAGGGGGGATAGATGAAATAATGAAAACTTACCTTCCCAGTCCCATTCTTGCATAACACTGACCCAATGTAATTTTCCCCTGACGGTCTTTTCAAATTCGATGTTTTCCAGGGGAGATACCGCAGAACTCCGCCGCGGGTTCCCAGTTCCCCGGGAGGATATCGCCCGCTCATCAGCTGCTGGTCTTCTGTATGACTCTTTAGCAAACCTAGTCGGATTATTTAGATCCCCAGGTGCCATGTTCCCGTAGGGTAATCCATCTCTTCCAACCGGTTCCCGATCATCAAAGGAATTGGAGCGACCCGTCGCTCGGAACTGTCGCCGCTGCTTTTCGGCCTCAAACTGGTCTCGACGAATCCAAACTTCATGGACTACGTCTATGCAGCGATCGATGGAACCCAGCATGACACGGGTCTGGATGGATCCCCATCGACCTAGCACCCATTGCCGGTCTTCCTCCTGATCAGCTTCACATCCGGCGGCTAAGAGAGGAAACATTTGAATAATCGTTGTACGGGAGCTCGGTGGAACCGTGGCCAGCAGCAGTAACACTCGCTTGGCGAGCTCTGACGCCGGCTCACAAGGCATCTCCGGAACAGCTTGATGAAGATATAGAATAGTTGCCCAGCGATAAGCATGTGCGATCTGTAAACTATGTTGTACTTCGGAAGTTGGATCTTCCGGTGGTTCAAACCAGTCAGGAGGCTCCCATTGCTCAACACGCCTTTTGAGCTCAATCGCCTCCGAAACGAGAGATATTGAGTTGGAATTAGTCCTCCGTACTCGTTGGATTAACTGGGCAACTTGATCTATGAGCGGAAATAGTGTGGTGGCGCAGCCATCAGAGGGTCAATCTCATGCACTGCGCCTTTGGGAAGCTGGAGGATGGATAGATCAACTTTTTGATCCCCAGATTCCTCCAACGAGGTTAAGCGTGCAATGACATCCATATACAGCCAAGTGTTGTAAAGGAATCGGATCCTGTCTAGATCGGCTGCACACAAACCAGCTTGCAATCCAAGTCCCACCACTTGTGATACCAATGCTTTGGCTCCTCGTAGGTGTTGAATACATGAACGTGTGTCCCGGTCCCAGGTGTCAGCAAATGCGAGCGCTAGGCTTGTGGCCAAAGCGGCATCCGCTCTCATATTTTGGATGTCCTGCACCATACAAGCGATGCTCCGGCGCATGTGCTCCATCCCGTGAACTCTCAAGGAAGGGTTTTTCTTACTGCAGTGGAAGGCAGACAGAGAAAAAATTGCGTGGTATAAGGCTGGCGTATCCTTAGCCAGGGGCCAGATCAAGGTCCGCCACGGATTTTCATGGGCCCCATCTTTCACAGATAGTATTCCGCAGGTGTATCGGTCGAAGTGCAAAATCAGCCTTTCAGGACTACTAGCAGATATTGTAGGCTCTTTGAATAGACCAAGGCTGATGTCTGTATTTCCAGACCGTGGAGACACACTGGTCCCTGCGAATTGGAACAGGGTTGGGCTCATACTTGGGTCGGACTGTCGGACGATTGCTTCTAGATCTTCACCATCCCCTTCTAGCAGGGCAGCGAAGCTAAAGTCGTCGGATCCATGGAGGGTCTCCTCCCCGGGCATCGCGAGGGTGGTCTCCCCGGGGCTTGTATCAAACTCAGCGGTGGGAAGTGAGATATCCGATGGCCATGGAGACTCATCGGGCGGCACAATCTCTTCTAAAGGTGGCACAAAGACGTCCTCGTCCATGTGTCCCAAGTCTGTGTTTTCCAACAGACTAGTCGCGCAGAATGAGAGATTTTTCTGCGTACTGCGACGCTTGTTCAACGGACATGAAGAATCACTTAATTGAGGGGCAAGGGATTGAACAAAATGACTAGTGTCCATGGGGAGCGACTGCGACGCAGCCGTTTGATCTTTTACTTGTGCTGCTGAGTGCTCTATGGTAGAAGATGAGACACTTAGGCTCGCTCTTCTGTTAGGAGGAGACGAGGTGACTATATGGCCATATCATCAGTTACTCGGCGATTCTCGTGAGGCTAAGCGGTACGCACCTTTTTTGCTCTTCGCCGTCGATACCCTCCCCGCAACGTTAGTTTCCTCGAATGGGCGCCACTTGAAGTCTTTTTTGTATCCTCCACATTCCACATTTCGTTTCTTGCACTGAAAACAAGTTGGCTTTGACTCGTCGCATTTTAACCGCTTCGCCTTGCAAGTGATGCAACCTGAATGGTGAAAGAGTTGAGAACGTCAGCGCACTGCGCGTTTATAGACCTCTGACTATTTTTTTCTCCTCTTTCTCCTCTCTATTTAATTTTTTTTGGCTCGTCCAACTCATCTCTTCTTGAATAACTCAAAGAACTAGTGCTACCGTACCGTTACGGCTCTTTGACTGCTTAGGTTTTCCAGAGATAGGAGCATTTGTGACCGTCTGTCCTGATATCGATTTTTTAGTGGTGGGAGATTTGAGAGGCCTTGAAAGTCCACCGGTTGGAGAAATGGCGGGCTGAGGGTCTAAGATGGCAGATGGGGAAGGGATTTTGATGTCTTCCATGCCCAAGCAAAGAAGTGATGACATGGGTCCTGTCAGGATGGAAAATCGGTATCCAAAGGTGAGGAAGAAAGATGCCAAGCCAAGAAGGTGTGAGTTGTACAAACACAAAGAGGCAATAATAATAACAATGAGAGAAGCACTTCCCAGTGGGAGTTCACGGAGATTGTGGGCTTCAACTCAAGATCCAGATGAGAGTCGAACAGATAAGGGTTAGCCGCCTCAGACGGGAACGAAGTGGGATAGATAGGGAAGGGGCTCGAGTACTCCAAGTAATAGATAATGAAAGGCCGAAGGGTGAGGAGAAACCGGCATCAGTGATAAGAGTTGCACTAGGGCCGCAGGATTGCGGAGACAACTGGAGCAAGGCGGAAGGCGCGGACTGGATGCCGATCCAGTAGGCTAGAGCTCAGACAAGACCCGAAATCCCCATAGGCATGGGGTGTACGGTTTCTTTTTCTTTTTCTTTTCTTCTCGTATGCAATTCTATCTCTGGTTAAAAGAGAAGGAGGGGTACCAAAAGGGGGGGGGGGGGATGTCGGCAAACACGGTGGACACTCACCTCGTAAATGAGTCCAGCGGATGGCTCTCCGTCGGCTAACCATGGGAGCCAAGATGCAGGAATTCAAAGTCATTGGAATTGATATCACGGACAGAAAGGGGCCAGTGGTTAATAAAATCGTCATGAATCAGTGATAGGGTTGGACGGACGCCACTCGGGGAGGTTAACAAATATGAGATGACGATTTAGACGGCGGTGGTTGGTTCGTGAGAGAAAAAGATTCCCCCCTCTTTTAGGTTTTGATAGGTGGTTTCCGACGAACGGAGTGAATTTTGGGACGGTCGATGGAAATCTGGAGTGGAAAAGTGGGAACTGGTACATGTACCGCCGTCCAAGCTAGTATACAACCGTACTTCGACCACGGTATGTACTGTCCCTCGTCGCAGGAACATCCACGTACCGCTTGTAATATACTTGTCCATACAATTAACTCGGAATTACAACTGCCCCAGCCGGTAGACTCATGTTGGCTCGCCAACTTCTCCAGCCCTGGAAAGCCCCACATAACAACCGCCATGTGCGACAATATTGACGCACGGGTCGTTGGATGTGTGGCGGTTAGTCTTCCTTGACTGGGAATGATCTTTTTCTTTTTCCCTTCTTTTCTTTTTCTAGTCCTTCGCTCGATATTTGACTGAGGTAGTTTCAAAGATGTCGCCCTTGATCCAGGCCCGCCGGGGATGGTACTTGATCAGTACCAGGAAGTTGTCGCACTTCCAAAAGTACTTACGTTCTCGAACCAGGATCGTACCCGTTCAAGTCAGGTGTGCATCGTGACCATGCGACACGTGATAATGCATTGGCTTGGACATATAGCAATCCTACACATGTCCACTCCTTGTTCCAGATTCATGGGGTTCGAATCATTGTGGGCCATGTGTAACTATTTTAAAGTCCAGCGGAAACCTGCAACCTGTCATTATGTTGGATATCCTGTCATAAGACTGATTTCCTTCCTTGGGTTTCATTGATCAGTGAAATGATGACGAAGCCTAAGCTGGCTGACGTTCCATGGTTGGAGCTGGCGGGTTAACCAAGCTTCAAATCCCCCTCCTTGATAGAAACCTTGAAGCCCTACAAGATGCACAAGGAGTCTTTCGATTGAAATGAATATGTCGTGAGGCATATACCCGGGGCGGACAGAACCATGCCCTTACTATAGCAATCAGTAGGAAATCCTCGAAGACCGAGAGATACGGAGAATTTTCGGAAACCGGTCAAGACACTTTAGATCCTTCATTATTATTACTACTGGTTAGTATGAGACCCACCAGCAAAAACAAAAACAAAAACAAAGATTGAATATAGACTCCCTGCCAGGCCATAGTTGGACACATGACCTCCTTTCCACACTTATCTGCAGGGAGTCTAGAAGCAACACGCTGGATAGTGGCCCAGTGGCCTGTACTAGTCATATGTGGCCAGTACTAGTACTTCGGTCCATTTCCGCGGGCGAATGATTCCTTCCATGGGTAACCTGATCGACAACCTCGTTGGCAACCTTGATCTGGCTGAAGAAACAACAAGAAACAGCTCCTCTCCTTGAGTTGCATGTCAGCTTCTTATGATGCATTCTGATACTATCTCCTTGATGGTCTACAATGGCTGTCGTGTTTGAATGGGCATTAATGACCGACCAACGGATAAATTTCCTCAGATCTGCGTTCCGGAAACGAGTCCCCCACGTTCAACTCCACGTTTCCCCCGCTCCCCGCTTCTCCAACTTTTGGCTAGGAAAGTTTACCTGGCCACATCCCGAAGTCAATATCTCACTGACGGTATTTGCAAACTTTATCAGCTATCTATCCATCAGTGCTTCAAGGTTCTATAATTCGACAAAGCCATTCATAGTCAATCAAGAATAGGATCTCCCTGATGCATTGGGTGTCAATGAGGGGCTGACATCACTAAGAAATATCACTTCATAAAAGGTCGAGAAGTTCAATCGGCCATTGTTTCATCAATGTATCATCCATAGCTCACCAATATCTCACGGGCCCTTTGTCCGTCTTCAGCCGGTAGAACCGAGCAACCCGAACCCGGCCCGGTCAGCTGACAGGTGGAGAGTGAACCACCAGGCGCTGATGTCCTGACCGATCCGCCTCGAAAAGAATGTATCTTAGGCCTCGGATCTTGTGCGCATAGTCCATACAGTGAGTACTAAGCTATATCCGAGGATCGCAATATTTGGCTTCCAATGTACTGCATTCAATAGTACGCGCCAACCAGATGCAAACCTGCGCCACCGATAAGTCATGGGATCAACCCTTACAGGTTATCGATGTTTAAACGAGTCACAGAACTGTTGGGATCCCCAATGATACTGTAAGGCCGTTATTGTCATGGATGACGCGGACAGTTTTACGAGAACGCTATCCCTTCGGATGCTCACATGAACCCTTTCCTCGCATTGCACAATCGTTTAGCTACTGCTAGACTAGAATCAGATGCCATAAAGGGGGAATCATTAGGCGTACATGTAACTCTGGGAATGCCTGTTATCTTCTTAATTGGCTCATACATGCGGCCCAGACGATGTCTCGCTGCATCCCGGATCCTGGGCCTTCTTGACCCCAAATCGTTGTCCCAAGACAACGTATTGGGCCACGGTGAATGCTCTCTGGAAGCACATGCCATCCTTATCGCGAAATGCCTTGACCAAATCGCGCTGCACCGCATCGTTGTCGAAAAATCCCAGCTGGTTGACATTTTCTTCTGTCAACAGTCGTTTTAAGCTGTTGTGTACGGGGCCATCTTCTTGGTATGTAAATGGTCCGACAAATGGGTGCTTGGTACGGTTATAGATTTCCTCCGTAACAAATGGCTTCATAGCTTCACGCAGGATATGCTTTTCGCGAAAGGTTTTACTCTCAGGATCATATCTGATTTTGAGACTTGGCGGGATATTATTTGCATACTCCGTAACGTAATGGTCAAGGAATGGCGGTCGTGTCTCAATCTGGTGAACCATGTCAATATTATCACCGATATAGCGGAGGATATAGTTCGCGAGAACGGTTTTCATCCATTGATACTGCGTTGAATGAAGAGGATGCCATTTCTCCATCATCTTGTGGAGGACCTGAACACCGAAGTTCTCTGCAAATGCTGTGGACGGGGGCCTCAGCATAAACTGATCTGTCCAGGATGAGTATGGCAAACTGATTATCGTGCTTAGTCGGGCGCTTAACGTGGTATTGTTAAGCATACGCTTTGTTGGAGCGGCCACTTCGTCCATGCCCACCGTGAGTACTCGATCTCTTTCCTCCAAGACTTTCCAAGCTTCTGCAATGTCAGCCTGCTTAGCGAGGGACTGTGGCCATGAAGGATCCGGCTCCAGCAGGAAGTTTGGCAGCAAATCAGAGTAGCCCGAGAAGTGCTCATCGGAGCCTTCGCCTAAAGATCGAAGCACTATTAACATAGCTGGTCATTGATGCTACATTGGACAGCGACGCTCACCTGTGAGGATGACCTTTTTTCCCATAGCCTGAGCGGCCTCAGCTACTGCCAGCCGCCCCATTCCATTGACATTGGCGGCTGGCGTTTCACTATACCAGACTGTATCCTCGAGCCTGGCGGCAATGGCCTCCTCATCCAAGTATATGGGGTGATATCCCACGCCTAACCACTCGGCTGTTCGTCGCGCGATATCTGCCAACGTTCAGGGGATATGTTCAGGGGGAACTACCAAAGTTGTTAAACGTACCTGACTCGTCGAACCCACTATCCTTTTCAAATTGGACTGTGAAGCAGTCTATTTTTGAACGCTCACCGCTTGTGTCGTTTCCGAGCTTGGTTCCTTCCTGGACAAGCTTCACGGCCATACCTGCTATGGCGGACGAGTCTAGCCCTCCACTCAGGTAGATCCCCATGCCCACATCAGCACGCAGTCGGATTCGGACAGCGTCGAGCATAAGCTCCCTGACTCTATCTATTACTTCGTCTTCGGAATGCGGGTAGACTGTTTTCTATATCCGGTCAGAATCTCAATGGGATGCGTGCTTGTTGGGTGTCCCTTACTTTATCTGGATAATCGGTATCCCAGTACATTCCTACTTCAGGTGTCTTGAAGTTCTGACTGACCATATACTGACCAGGGGCAAGCTGAGTGATCGTCAGATACAAGCAACAGCAATGAAAATACTTATCTACGACATCCCAGGGACTTGGTGTAGATTGTACGTACTCTATGCACCCCTTTGAAGAACATTCGCGAGCCGCTCATCCAGGCTCCTTCCCTGATACATGTGATATCCCATTGTGGCTTCCAGCCAAAAGGCAGGAAAGACTTCATTTCCGTAGCGACTAAAAGCCGATTGCCAACCATAGTATAGTACAGTGACTTGACACCATATCGATCACGGGCTGTCAAGAACAGCTTGCGATTCGCGTCATAGAGGACAAGAGCAAACTCGCCTCTTAATTTGTTGAGAAAGGAGATTCCGTAATGTCGGTAGAGTGCAATGACGATTTCACAATCGCTGTTACTTTTGAAGCTGTATTCATGAGCCAGCTCCGTTCGATACTGCTCATGGTCATAGAGCTCGCCATTGACGACAGCATGAATCGCGTTCTCGCTGTCGTGGAAAGGCTGGTTCCCTGCAGGACTCAGGTCGATGATGGAGAGTCGGACATGTCCCAGACCTTGTCGCAGATTAATTCCTCGCAATCAGCTATTTGTGGAATACAGATTACATACCAACCCTGTGGTCCGGGCTGAACCAACGACCACGCGCATCTGGACCTCGATGATTGACTAAGTCTAAGCTTTCCTCGAGCTGTTCCTCTAGGCCGAGGAAATCATTGGCACAGTGAGCACAACCAGGTGTTCCCCCCACAGTCACGAAGGCCGTTAATCCACACATGGCGAGGGTATCGAGACAGTGAAGTCACTGTGAGATGGGGGAAGATGGAGAGAGAGGCACAGCACCAAATATGTAACGTGCCAACCCTCAGATTGCAAAGAAAGGGGAATAAGCTTATATATCTATTGGAGATGCTCAGAGCGTCCAAGTTCATTGTCCTTATATGTATGTCAGACCTTAGATCCCTGTCTTATACGATGCTTACAGCCCAGCCACTACATCTGTTGTCCACACAGGAGCAATCATGGAAGGCCTTGTGTACTGATGCGCCACCAACTCGACGATGCAAACTCTGTTCTCGTCCGATACAAGGCAAGTTGATCGGCGTTTGGCCCCATATACTAGTAGCGACGGTTCTCATTTGTTGGAAGTTCATGGGGGCCAGGGGTACATACAAGAATGAGACGTCATCCTTTGTTACATTCAAGAGGCACACTTGGAGAGTGTTGGCCCATCCAATAGATATTAGTGCGAGTGCTCGGATGTAACAGCAGTAGAGAGACTCCTTGTTCGTTGTTGTAGCGAAAATCGGCACTTCCATCGCAGGGATGGCGGGGAAACGGGAACCCCAGAGCCGACCGAGGTTGGCGGGTCGGCCCATCTCTCTTTAGTCATTATCGCCGCGGAGGTAACATCATAAATGAAACTATTCCTTTCCGTCCCTTCTTCCTTTCCTTTCCTCTCTTCTTCCCTTTTCCTCCATACACCTTTTCACTTGATCGTGAATCTATCGCACTGTCCCAGATCATGCTTCGATCAATTCCTCGTCGAATCCCTCGACGCCTTCCGACTCCCTCGTCCCCATCTCGCCTCGCCCTGCGTTCCTTCACATGCGGTTATCCGCGGATGTCGGTGCCACCGCTATCCGCTGTTGAACCCCCCGTGTCGACAGCATTACCAAGCGATTCCTACCAACTTCTATCGACGGCTGACAAGGCTGGAGCAGCTGAGGATGCTTTGTACGAGCAACAGATCAAAGATGTGGAAGCGTGGTGGCAGTCGCCGCGTTTCGAGGGCATCAAGCGGCCCTATTCGGCTGCGGACGTTGTCAGTAAACGGGGCTCACTACAACAGACGTACCCCAGCTCCTTGATGGCGCGGAAACTGTTCAACTTGCTGAATGAAAGAGCGGCGGAAGGCAAACCAGTTCATACCAGTAGGTGTCCGTTCAATACAGAACGGGCGAGTACGAAGCTGACGATGCCTTTACAGTGGGCGCCATTGATCCGGTGCAGATGACGCAGCAGGCCCCGAACCAAGAAGTCCTGTATATTTCCGGTTGGGCATGCTCCTCTCTTCTGACTACTACCCATGAAGTATCGCCAGACATGGGTGACTACCCGTACAACACCGTTCCGAACCAAGTCCAGCGACTGTTCAAAGCTCAACAACTGCACGATCGCAAGAACTGGGACGCTAGACGGAAATTGACCCCCGAGGAGCGGAAATCTACCCCTTACGTAGATTTCATGCGACCGATTATCGCGGATGGAGATACTGGGTATGCTATGCGATTGAACCCTGTGAGAATTCAGTGACTAATGGCCACTCTTGTAGACACGGAGGACTCTCTGCCGTCCTAAAGCTTGCCAAGCTCTTCGCTGAGAATGGCGCTGCTGCGGTCCATTTCGAAGACCAGCTCCATGGCGGAAAGAAGTGCGGTCACCTCGCAGGCAAGGTCATTGTGCCCGTGGGCGAGCATATCAACCGGCTTGTTGCCGCTCGTTTCCAGTGGGATATGATGGGCTCTGAGAACCTCCTGATCGCCCGCACAGACTCGGAGAGTGGAAAACTGCTCAGCAGTGCTATCGATGTGCGCGACCACGAGTTTATCTTGGGAGTTACAGAGGAGGTCGAGCCTCTGGCAGAAACCTTGCAAGCAATGGAGCGGGAAGCGCTGCCCCTGCCGAGATCGATGCTTATGAATTGGACTGGGTCAAGAGCCACAAGCTTGTCACCTTCGACGAAGGTATTCACATCTGTTTCCCTGTTTGAATTATCCATATACTGACCTTGTTAGCTGTCGACGCACACCTCGAGAGAGAAGGGGCGGCTCAGTCCGTCAGGGATGCATACAAGACGCGAGTCCAGGAGAATCCCGACCTCTCTATTACCCGCCGGAAGGCCCTCGCAAGTGACTACACCAAGACCCCAGTGGTCTGGTCCTGGGATATTCCCCGGACGCGGGAAGGCTACTACCATTACAAGGCTGGCTTCCCAGCAGCCACCAAGCGAGCCAAGGAATTTGCCCCCTATGCAGACCTACTCTGGGTGGAAACCGGCGATCCCAACGTCGAGAAGGCTGCCAAGTTGGCCGGCGACGTACGGAGCGCCTTCCCCGGCAAGAAACTGGTCTACAACCTGAGTCCGTCGTTCAACTGGATGGGACAGGGCTTCACCGAAGAGTCCCTCAAGTCATTCATCTGGGACCTTGCCCCGCACGGGTAAGTTGCGTTTACTGACATGAGTAATTACACAAACTAATACGCGATTTCCTACAGATTCGTGCTGCAACTGATCTCCCTCGCCGGCTTACACACCAACGCCACCGTGACAACGGAGCTTTCCCGTGCCTTCAAGGACGAGGGCATGCTCGCGTACGTGCGCCAAATCCAGGCACGTGAGAAGGAACTCGGGGTCGAGGTCCTTACTCATCAGAAATGGAGCGGTGCGCCGTACATGGACGGGATCCTGGGTGCCATCCAAAGCGGCAACAGCAGTAGCAAGAGCATGGGAGAAGGAAACACAGAAAAGGGTAAGATCTTTTACTACTATCACCATACAGAGCCCTGTTACTAACTTGACGTGCAGGTTTCTAAAAAGGTGTCGGCGAATACAGACCTGACAAGGTCAAACGAGAGTCGATGTTAAGTATAGTGATGCATTGAATGTAAACCATAGACCCCTATTTACGACTGTTTATTTTATTTTTTTTTACCACGTCAGGAATATACCTAGTAATCTTTAACTTTCCAGTTCTCCTTAGATGTAACGTCTACTCTCACAGAATACACAACTATATCATAAATAGACCCTCCATCCCATCGACCACTAATCAATCCATAAAACCCATGATCAGCACAAGACCATACCAAGCACTCAAAGTCGCAAAAAAGAAAGAAAGAAAGACAAAGAAAGAAGCAAAAAAAAAAACCAGCTAGAATCCCAAACCCAATAACCCAATAACCATTTAAACACAAGTACAACATGCATAAAAGCACATATGTATGCATATTATGTACTCAATATAAATCTCCCAACAAAAACATATACGGGCCGAGAATAAGTACACCGTACCGGCCGGCCCATAGTTAAACCTGTAGTTAAGTAGTTGAGTAATTTTACCTTGATAATGCTTGTTTTTCTTTTTCTTTTTGGTTTAAGGTTTATGGGGGGAAGGTATTACTGTACGCTATACTATACTGCGTTACGGATTTTTTTTAGCTTCTTTGGTATTATATGTACTCCGGTACTACTACTTACTAACATACTTACTGCCCGTACCTGTATAGCTGTATAGCTGTATAGTTGTATAGTGTATCCGATTCCATGGCTTGGTGATTAGTGGGTATTTACGGTATCCTATATCTCGATCTAGATATTGTTTGGTTCTTTTTTTTCGCTAGTTTTATTGGTGATACTGTTTTATGTTATTATTCTTGTGGTTCTGGTGGTCATGCTAAGATTTATATATCTCCGATCAGTTGAAAGGTTTCATTCTCGTAGAGATACAGGATATTCACATTGCACTGCTAATATGAAAAAAAGGATCGGGAAGTATAAAAGAGTAGAAATTCACCAGTCTTGCACCTCCAGACAAAGAAATCGAAATACCTTACAGTAGTAACAACCAGAAACGAAGAGAAGTCGTAAAGAACATGGGTGGTCCACGGACGCATCAAGCGGACTCGTGATTGGGATGAGGCAAAAAGCATGTATCCAGATCAACAGGGCTTAAACACTGGCAAAGCTCAAGACATACTCTGGGGCAGATAGAGAAACAAGTTGCGAAGAAACTAAAGCACAATTTTTCCCCTCAAAAAATTACTCGCTGAAGAACCGACAAAACAGCTGCAATATCGTAGCAGATTAATTGACACGGAACGAATCAAAGATGACTAGAATGCGGTCAGTCACGTATTGCATGCACGGGATTGCGATTCCGACTAACCTTCATGGCCCCTGCGGCAACCACTGCCAACCCACATCAAGGTGTTCAAAAATGCGTAGCGCTCGTCGCCAGTCTCCATGGTGAGGTTGATACGGTACTTGTACGTGTTGGGGTTGATCGTGTCCGCGACGCCCGGATCGTTGACCTTGTCCAGAACATCCTTGGCGCCTGTGAGCCACCCATTGGTCTTCACGATGATATAAGCCGGGGGATCATCTGCGGTTTGAAGCATGTAGCTTGCGCGAAGGCTGGTCGCGGATTCCTTGGTCACAATCTGCGAATCTTGTCCTCCGGGCTAAAAACTTAGTCAGCTTATCGCGCTCGAAATCATTGGTTGGTGAATCCTCCAACATACCAGCACGATACCCTTGCCCCATCTGCCAGCCCATTGGCCACCAACAAACGTGACCCAATCTCTCTGGCCCCAAAGGCTCTGGCCAACAGCTACCTTCGGGTTCATCTTTATGCTCATGCGGAAGTCCAGTTCAAGAGTAGGCGCGGGGATCTGCAATGAGCGAGCCACGTCGCCTTCAGGGAAAGTGTGGAGGAGGTTGTTGGCGGGGATCGAATCCTTCATCACGCTGAGGTAGGTGGGACATTCCAAGAGATGTTGACGCTGACGGCTCGTGTTCTTGGCGCGGACTTGCTGGCAATAGATGCATTGGACGGAGAGACACTGGGCCCCAGTCAGACAGGGATGCTCGGCAATATCAGGCATGGCACTAGCGGAGGCATATCTTACCTTGTCTTCCTCCTTCGCACGGAACTCGACAAACGCAGCATGCACATCATCCAAAGGAGGAGCGGGCAAACTTGAGGACGAAGTTTTCGGTTTAGACTTGGGAGTCGCACGAGCAGCTTGTTGCGATGGGGGACCAGAGGATGTGCCGGTGGGGCCGGAAGTTGGAAGGGAAGCGCGGCCTTGCATATTCTGCAGTGGCGTCTGCATTGGGGTAGCATGGGGATTGACACCGTTCGACATCATGGGCCCGTTGGGAGTAGGCAGGGCACCTGGGCCAGGACCAGCGCCTGGTGCAGTGGCTGTAGCGCCATTGGGAGTAGGAGGGTATCCATTGGTAGCACCGATACCGTTGGGGGCGGACGGAGCAGCCTGAGACTGAGCCTGGGGGTTGGTATGGCCACGGAGACCGGGGCACTCCAGCAGGTGCTGCTTCTGACGCGAGGTGTTTTTGGCGCGGATCTGCTGGCAGTAGATACACTGGACGGAGAGACACTATCACGCAAACAAAGTGGTCATGTCAGTATCGCGGTGTTGGGGCGGCGGGCTGAAATATTACGGAAAATACAAAGACACGCACCTTATCGTCTTCCTTGGCGCGGAACTCGACGAACGCCGCGTGAACTTCCTGGTCGACGGTACGACCCATGTTCACGACAAAAGGATTGATGAAATCGATGGTGGATGGATTATCTGAAGCGATTAGATTAAAGAAAGAGATGATCGCAACGGGCTCAGTCGACGGAACAGGATGGAGGTACGGGCGCTGGTCGAGCAGAAGGCAGCGAGACTCGGGGGAAGAAAGTGAAAAGGAAAGAGTTGACGGGCAGGAGAAAAACGAGACGAGACGAGACGGTGGCGGTTAAGTTACGCGAGCTTGTCAGGACGAAAACCTTACCGTCGGCGTAAGTTTGATCCCGCGGCTGATACCATTCCTGAAATTACCAATCCATTTCGCTCTTCTCTGATGCCAACTGAACATTTTTTCCCCCTCTCCCCTGCTAATTCACTCTATCTTCGAAATCACGCCATTATCAACTTCTTCTTATCACTCGTTTCCGCCTCCATTGTCTTGCTATGCTTGCCAACGCCTTCTGGTGTGAAGCCTTGTCTCTCAGCTGGAAAGTCTAAAATTGTCACGCGGCAAATGCTGACTCAAGATGGTTTTACCCAATAAGCATGCGCAGATAGTGTACGGCATACGAGGGAGCCTTAATTCAATACAGTTATTTTAAGAACCAAATAAACTATGAATACCTCCGGAGATGTAAAGTGAATGGGAGATTCCATTGAAAGCTCAACTCAATCCAAATACTGTACTGACAATCCTCCTTTTCTGCGATACCCGGTACCCCCGTACTGTATAGCGGATACGCCCATACAAAAGTACACTCGGGTCAGGTACTGATCGGCGCTTACAGTTCATCATACCGCGTCAGCACAAACTCACCACCCTCCAAGCCCCAATTCCCATCTTTCACCGGGTATCAAATACGTGAAAACCATCCTTATCAGTGCCAGTAAAGTCGTACGTAGTTTATTTCACCCCGTAGATCTCTAAACCTTGGGATCTCCAGTTGACCAACACCACGTCACACAGTCAACTCCAAGCTCAGCATCAGATCGGATCGGATCAGATCAGATCAGATCAACTCAGATCCTCTGTGTACACAGTAAAGGAGGTTGCGTTGTGGGCACAGCCACCACCAAAATCACGCGTTCCGTGTCTGCGCGGGAAGGCCTAATCTCATGTCTTAGACTTCACTCCATTGTTCTTCTGCCTAATTGCTTGAGGTAGAAATAGAGGTTCATTTGGGGATGTTCTAGGCGAGGGTCTGTCTATCTTATAGATATACTTTGGAACGGAGCCCAACCGCATCTGGTTTACAAAACAACGGATAGTTTATTTACCATGCGGGTTGATTACTGCGTACCTTGGATGTGACGGGTGTTTGGCGATGGTTACCTGCTGGTTCTTCGTCTTGGTTTTGGCCCCTGGTAATACTGTATCTTCATACATTTGGTATGGCCCTAATTATGACCGTGTTTTTCAGTGGGAATATAACCAGCTGTCACGCTATGCTTTACAATATTTGGTCGGCTTTTCCAAGGTCAAGATCTGAAACTTATTACGAGAAGAAAAAGAGAAAGGCGATTATACTTGGCACTGCAGAATAGAAAACGAGCTGATGATAACGATGGGGAAACATAGATAGAAAAGAAAAAAAAGAAACGACCGACCAGGGACTCGAACCCTGAATCTTTGCTTTACTACAAGTGGAACCACCATAGGAGAGCAACGCCTTACCATTAGGCCAGCCGGCCGAAGGTTGATGCAAAAGACCGGTAGTAAGCACTATAAGGTAAATAAAATACAAAGCACCCAACATCGCTCACTTTGCTTGATCGGGCAGGAAGCAGTCTTGCCCGCCGTCGGATATAGGCCCATATTGGGTACTATTACCTATCGATTCCTATGAGGCATTGTACATTTTACCGTTTATTGTTGGGATTGAAGCAATATGGTATATTTAATTAGTAAGCTAAGTATGTCCATTGGTCAAAAGTCGATATATACAGTCATAAAGCATACATGATATACTTCCATGAAAAAAAAGCTTCTACCACCCAAATTTCTCAGCATGTAGATATATGCCTTGTGCCCCTGTTCCCTTATGCACTGCCCGTTCGTCGCTCAAGTACACCACACTCCGGCGCACATCGTCTGATAGACCCTGCGGCCCACAGACCACCACGGCACTTTCGCCTTCGGCTTTCTCCAAGACTTTGCGAATAATGGTTCGTGGTCGCGGTCGACCGGAGAACATGGGAAGCTCGGGCGCCCTAACTGGCGCAGCTTTAACATCCAGCTTCTCTGGTTCCGGCACCGGAACCTGAGAGGCAGGGGCATGACCGGAGCAGGAACATTTATGTTCGGTGATGCTGTCATTGTCCTCGTCTTCAATGGCAGTTGTGCAGCAGCATCCACCATTAGGAAGGCAGCCATTCTGTGATGTAGAGTCCGTGGAAGAAACCTTGGAGATCGAATGGGTCGAAACATCGTCCTTTTTGCTGCGTTTTTCATCGGTGATAGCAGCTGGTTCGATAGTCTTGGTATCTCGACGAGTGCTGACAATTGTGGATTCAGGCTGGGCCTGCGAGCAGAGAGTCTGGGCTTGTTGTGGCTGTGGCTCCAGCTTTTCGTCACAGGTCACATATATGCTCAATTCGATCTCTCGGATCATGTCGGGCTGAGCACGACGACATTCTTCTACGTCAGACAATACGGACTGTAACTGCGTCTCAAACCAGCTAAGTTGAGCCCGCGACTTGATCACCCATACAAAACGGATACGTTTGGTCGGCGTGAGGCGTGTGGATTTGTTGGACTGCTCCTTCGCTCCGAGACATTCCATTTTCCACTGTGACACAATATCTCGCAGACAGGGTATAATGAAAGTCACACCCATCCCTCCCGCAAGCAGTACCACACTGTCAAACTGACGGAGAGGTCTCATCCTTCCGTACGGTCCGTCAATGAACACGGTACGGGCCGGTTTTACAGCGGCCGTATCCCCGGAGCCTAAAACGTGGTGATGTTTAGATGCATAACGGAAGAACCGCCGAGTGCCTCCTTTCTCAGAGCGTACGAAAAACTCCATTTTGTTGTCCGCAGGAATAGAGGCGATGGTGAATGGGTGGCTTTGCAGGGGTACTATCGAATGACATGTCAAGAACACGTGCTGTCCGGGTTCCCATCGGATGCCCGGGCTGTCGATTGTAATGCGAGTGACATTTCCTGGTAAGGGAGTAAAAGACGCCCGGTTAGCCCAGAGAGCATGCTTCGTGTCCGATGTGGAGCGGTGGAAGATGGACAAATTGGCATATGTGGCCCATGCGTATCGCGCGACGCGGTCAAAAACGAGCAACCCGATAGAAATCCACACCCACACCTTGACTTCTTGCGCGGCGTGTAACCAAACTGCAACAGTAAATCCAACAAATGTCACGAGGTGTTGTAAGACGAAGAATTCATAACTGAGTCGTCGTATGGGCGCCATAGATGATAGGACGATAAAGGTCAGAATACACCACGCAGCAAAGCCCCGTTGCGACAAGGGATCGTTTTTCAGTTGGTACGTGATGTAGTCGTAGCGTCCCCAGCTCCGGAACCAAAAGCCCATATGAATCGTAACCGTTAGCCAGAGAGTCCGGGAAATCCAGCGATGGAACCAATTTAATCTCTCATAACTCATGCCGACGAGGAGTCCAATGATATTCTGTCTTCCTGCCAGAAGGAATATCAGAGGCATCTGGGCAATAGCTACAAATCCGGTGCGATAGCCAACATTTTCCCATGACCATTGGTCCGTTGTGTCTAACTTGTAGAAGCAGAAGACAAGGACCACGACTAGATTGGCTAAGATGATGGCTAGTGGACCTAGCGGAGCAAAGTGGAAGATACGGCCACCTAGCGACCATGGGGGCAACGTTGCGTAGCTTGCTTCTCGAACGATGGCCGTTAGAGTAGCGCATGTGTTGAAGAATAGTGATTTGGGTTTGGACGGGGTGAGAGTGGAGTCCCGTAGTCTATAGCTGCGAGTAAGCTTTCTTGTATCTCTTGATGCACACAGGCGGGGCATACTGACCTTTGAAATGCGAGGAGATTATTGAAAGCATTGACTACTGTCCCAGTAGCTATGGCGCTTCCTACCACAGCCCAGTACATCTTCTGGAGATAGAAGAGGCCTGGCACGCCATCGCCCATGGACATATTGCCCATTGGGCCCATGTCCATCCCACCCATCGACATGGTGGCGTTGTGCGTGTTGTTTCTTTGCGATGTTCAGTTGTGACGGATATGGGTTAATCTTCAATCGAGAATAATAACCATTAATTGAATAACGCTATTGCGGGGTATCATGTCATCTTTTTGAAGTTCTCACGTGGTGGTATCTGCGTCGACTGAAGCGTGATTCACCGGGAAATCAGTAGGAAGTCATATTCGGTGCGAAGAGAAGGAGAAGAGGGAGAAAGAGGGATAGATGTAATTAGCAGAAATGACCGAAAAGATCCCATATGCTTATCGGATGGATAGAACAACCAGGTCTCCATCGAGTTAAGTAATTATTAACGCGTGTTCTCTGCATTAATTTTATTTCCATTATTTGGTTTGTTTCCATTTCCACCCCGAAGACTAATAATCTGCTCAGACTCCAAGGTAGATGTTTGCGGATGGAGCCCTAATCTCTGGTCCATGATTGGCCTCGGTCCTTAAAATGTGCTCACGTCTCCACCCTTCGGCTGCTGGTGTGACACTTGGCTCTGGTCCGCATTCAAGCCCGTTAGGTTTGTCTCAACTTTTAATAAAGATCCCAACGCCGGCTCTAATCATCATGGCATTCTCTCTCCACTACGTCGTGTTTTCTTTTCCCTCTTCTCGCTCGCCCTTTTCGCCTTCCCTCCTCAGCATCCCGAGCATCGCTACCTGACTGCAACGACAACTATCTTGTCAATCTCTTGATTGATTGATTTCGGGAAAGAGATCTGATATCCGATATAGCGGGGCGCATTTATCGATATCACTATTTTAAAGACTCACCCGCAGAGGGAACTCCAAAGCCGCCACCATGGATATGAGCAGCATGGATCATTCGTCACACTCGTCCTCTTCGTCATCCTCATCATCCATGACAATGTCGATGGCTATGGTCTTCGTTAATACCCAGGACACACCCCTGTTCTCGAATCAGTGGACTCCGTCATCCAGTGGCGCGTATGCTGGCACGTGCATCTTCCTTATCATTCTATCGATTATTGGCCGACTCCTGGTTGCGTTCAAGGGCGTCATGGAACAGTACTGGTTGAATGCTCATTTGAATCGTCGCTACGTGACCGTCGCGGGCAAGTCAACGGAAGCTGGTCGTATCGACACCGACCCGGATGCCAAAGTGGCTTCACTCGTGACAGCACAAGGGGTGGAAGAGTCCGTCAAAGTTGTGCGCCGGGCTACACACGAGCCCCTTCCGTTCAGATTTAGTGTTGATCTGCCGCGAGCATTCCTTTTTCTCGTGATTACAGGGGTATCATATCTGCTGTATGTATTGACTCACCATTCCACATTGATTTAAGTACTAATTCCTTTTCCAGCATGTTGGCTGTCATGACTATGAACATTGGCTACTTCTGCTCTGTGTTGGGTGGTGCTTTTCTAGGCGAACTGGCCGTGGGGCGGTATATACAATGGAATGAGCATGGCCATTGACGACACTTTTGCAGCCATGATTCTTCTTTTCCATGTTTGCAATTTGAGTTTTGGCGTTTGGACACTTGATATTGCCGCCAATGGCTCTGAAGTTAAGGCGAGCATTGCATGCATTTAGTGGAGTTTGGAGCGTTTCAATGATTTTTCCGTGATACCTCTATCAGTTGTTATTATCATGAACTTTCCTCGAAGGTACCAATTGCGAGACCCATGTGCCCACTTTTCATGTCAATGATTGCCAGTAAGATAACTATTAATCGACCATGTGGCACTTTAATGCCACCCGACCTTAGATGATGTTACCTCGCCTAGGAAATTTTCTGGGGCTCCCGTCTCATAATTGTCTTTCCCTTTTTGACTACATGAGCTCATTAGGTTACGCCCAATAAACTTCAACTAGGGTTCGGGTCAAGATGGCGCGATGACTGACCGCTTGAGTGCCTCAGGCCCAAGGATCTCGGTCGTGGTTGATTTGTGCCTCTCCCCATTGGTCCACATTGCCGACCACGGGGCTCCACCTCCAAACTGCAGGTGTTTTGAAGCTTTGAGAAGATATGAGCACATTTCCTAGCCGTTTCCATCTTAGTCTCTGCGCGCACGTTCTTGATCCATGTCAAGCAAACACGATGGCGCTCAACTCCAGTCCAGATTTCAAAGAAACCTCATAACATGTCAATGATGCTTGGATAATGTGGAACTTGGGTCCGACGCATTAATTTCCCCAAATTTCCAATTGATAACAGTTTGGTCCCAATGAGTAGAAAAGTGCCGAAGTTGCCGATCGATGCCCACTGCACCTTCTGTTAACCAACCCCCCAATACTATATATTATTATCAATTCCCCTATCGTATTTGTCTATCATTCCTCCCTCTACATACCTGTATCCCGCTCGAGTTTCTTGACTCTCAACTCCACAGCCACTATGAAGCTCTCAATCCTGTCCCTGGCGTCTCTTGCGCCCCTGGTTTCGGCTCACTTCAAGCTGAACTACCCGACTAGCCGTGGATTCGATGAGGATAAGATGTCTCAATTTCCCTGCAGTGGACTGTCTCAATCTTCGGAGCGGACGAAAGTCTCTCTTTCCGCCGGTGACTTGCCTGTTGCCTTGACATTGGGCCATGCCCAGACAGCTGTGGAAGTACTTCTCGCTCTCGGAAACGACCCTGGTACCAATTTCAACATTACTCTTCACCCGACCTTCCGAGTGGAGGGTTTGGGCTCATTCTGCCTCCCCAATGTCACTTTCGATGAGTCCGTCGTCGGCGTAAAGTTGACGGAGGGAATGAACGCAACTCTCCAGGTGCAGAGCAACGGTGACCCGAGCGGTGGTCTCTACGCCGTACGTCTTGAATCAATCAATCCTTATGTGGTGTAGGGTACTGACGTTTCATTTTTAGTGTGCTGATATCCAGTTCACGGAGGTGGACTATTCCGCACCTTCCTCTTGCTCGAATAACACTGGGGTTAAGGCGACTTCATTCACCGGGGACGCCGCAAAGCGCAATGCGAACGAGTCCACTGCTGACGGCCAGGCGCAGAGCGGCTCATCTTCCCCTTCTTCTTCTAGCAGTTCCTCTACCGGTAGCGCTACATCTACTGCTGGTGCGGTTGCCCTAGAGACGGCTGCTTGGGGAATGTTGGGTGCTGCAGTTGTTGGTGGGATGGCAATTCTGTGAATTTTGCCTTGGGTAGTTTTTTTTCCCTGGCTATGGGAGAACAATGAGTTTCCCTTTCCTTTTCTTTCTTACGCCCTCTCTGTACATTGCAAAGGGGGTGTTATGGTCATGAGTAATGATTCTGTTGTCCTGTGATGCATCCATTGTATAGTATACCTTTTTATATCATGCAGCTATGCACAATCCAAAAAGACCAAGTTTGGCCCAACACGATAGGAGAATAAAAGCCGACCGTCGTTCCCTCGTATTCTTTCATATCACCTGATGTTATATTAGGGCAGTGTTTATGTCACGTGCATCTATGTACAATATTTTATCCATCCGCTAACACTTAGGCTTCCATGTTTTCGTTGCTACCATCTCCCATTGAAAGCCATGGACCAATTCCCAAAGCTTCGACCGGTCAGTGAGCGCTCACATGAGGGCCGCGGCATGCCCCCATAGCTGACGCCCAGCAGGTCGGTCGCATGGAGCTATGCTCCACCGCACGCCATCACCTAAGATTCTATTACAATGTAGCGGTAGCAGCAACTTACACACTGCCGCCAACATTTACCCTCCCAATCAAAGACTATGTCTACAAAGCATGTGAAATACTCATTGCGCAGCACCCAATTCTCTCGGCCGTCCCAATCGGCGAGGAGACAAAGGAACCTTACTTTGTGCGTCTCCCGAACATCGACCTGAGCCAATCGGTCTTTTTCCAGAAGCGTGAGCACGGTTTCCCCGATGCAGAAGACCGAGATGAAGAGCTAGACGCGCTGCTGAGTACCCAGCATAACACTGCTTTTGAACTCCCGTTGCCATTCTGGAGAATTTTCGTGTTGACCGATGATGCCGATGAGACCGAAAGACGGTTCACCGTCGTCTTTTTCTTCCATCATGCTATCTCTGACGGCTCTTCGGGAAAGGTCTTCCACAGGACCTTCCTGCAAGCGTTGCAATCCTTGTCATCGTTGACAGTCGATGATGTCAAGGAAGTTATTCCATCGCCTGATTCGCCGCTTCTGCCGCCTGGGGAAGCCGTCCATCCTAAGCCAGTATCGTACTCCTACCTGGCTGTTCAACTCTTCAAAGCTAAGATATATGACCCTCGTGATCCTGGTTTATGGACCGGATCGGAGGTCAAGCTCCCACTGGAGACGAAGCCAAAACACATCGTCTTCCCAAAGCATATATCATCAACATTCAGGGACCGCTGCCGCGAAAACAAGACAACCATAACAGCCGCTCTCCAAACAGTCATCGCTCGCTCCCTCTTCGCCCATCTTCCCGAATCCTCCACGAAGGTCAGGTGCTCCGGCGCGATGTCCAATCGCCGCTGGCTTCCTGACCCCATCACAGAAGATTCGATGGGCGTCTGGGTTCAAGAATACACCGAAGACTACTCCCGGAAAGATCTCGATGAGGCCTCATTCCCCTGGTCCGTGACCGTGCGGTCTCGCGCGACAATCGAAAAGGAACTCAGCAAAGAGGGCAAGGACACTACCGCCAATCTCCTTAGGTACGTAAACGATTACCAAAACGAGCTCTACCTGTCAAAGGTCGGGCTGCCGAGGTCGTCTACCTACGAGGTGTCGAATATCGGGGCTTTTACTTCTAGCACGTCAGCAGAAGGGATACCGCGGGTTGGGCGTGTCGTTTTCTCACAGAGTGCGTCTGTTACGGGAAGCGCGTTTGAGGTCTCGGTTGTTTCAGGTGGTGATGGTTGTTTGGTGTTGATGTTTACGTGGCAGAAGGGTGTCGTGGAGGATTTATTTATCCTGAATGTTATCGAGTCGGTGAGGAAGGAGGTGTACGATCTTTGTGTGTAATAGATTTGTCTATATGTGGTTTCTTCTTGATCTTTCCATCGCTTGTACTTTATGGGTTTAATCTAGTATATAGAACTGGTCATCATATTAACTAGGTAATATTCAATGCAACATCCGTGCTTGCTTTAGAAACCCTCAATTTGTTATGAGATACAACCCAGCCTTTAATGTCCCTATAAGAAGTCAATATGGAAGCTCATAGCATGCTTGTAAGAAAGTGAAGCGCTCGCAGGTGAGTCCAGTATGCAAGGTTTTTCTGGGAACGACCTAAGTCTTTCTGTGGTATATCGGATGTTTCTTTGTTATAGTAAAAGTTGTTCGGTGTTGGTATCTCAAGGTTATCATTCCCTCAAATATTCACTAGATCATGGATTGTGACGAGGAGGAAGCCCCAGGAAAATCACGGATCAAGTTCCCTCTGCTTCATGCCGTACGATGATTTACTAGATTACCTCTCAATTCCCATGATCTGCAATATATAAATACTCGACAGACGGAGTCTTAAGGTATAGCCGAGCAAGCCCTATGTAGGACGTCCCAGAATCCAATGAACACCACTTGACCTCATCGGGACAGCTCCTATCTTGAGGCCAATGAGCTCCGTTGATATGTAGAATTTGGGTAAATAGTCATGAAGGGCCATCACCCGCCTCTCCAGGCAAAGGCATAGGTATGGCCTGCTCACTGCAAACACCTGTGATAGTATACCTTCCCATAGCTCGGTTATATGTATAGTTCAAAGATCTGACTAAAGCTTTTATCTTCCGTTTACCGAACAATATGATAAACTTGGATTTTTATATGATTTACTACTGGTACATAGTAACCCCCCTGGTAGCATGTAGGACCCTTATATCTCAGAAGGCAAATTCCAGGTTTCTTGAAATGGGGCTGGAGCACTGTATTTTACTGAACTGCTTTGAATTACGCCTCCTTAAAGACGGGGCGTGTTTTACATGATATTTTATAGAGCATTTCCCACTTATCGGTTCTGTAACCCTAATCCAAGATGGTGCGGTATCAATAACCAGCTGGACAACATTAAAGTTCTAGTCATTGAGAACAAACGTTCGGTTGTTTTTCAACACATTTTAGCCAGACAATGTCTATATATACTAACACCGAGAAGGCCAATATTTCCTCCCCCATGTCCATTGTACCGCTTAGGGAACGTCTTTGCCATCACTGCCGAATCATTTTTACCCCAAGGCAGCATGCATTGGGTTGTGCAGTGTTTATTATTTGTACAGCATCACTGTTTACCTCACACCCATTAAAGCTAATACAAAGTTAGGTTTTCTGCTCTTTGTGGGGGCACAATCCATCATCGTAATAGGCGGTGAGGACTTAGATAGGCAGAATCGCGGGGGATTGTTTATCGCGTTATCGTCTTGGTTATCTAGCTTTCCTTCTCCCTATTCTCCGATTTTTCTTCTTTTGCGGGCTTCATTCTTGTCTTCTTTATTTACACTCGCTTATTCTGTCAATATCTCATTGCGACTGTTTAAAAACCAGCAAAATGGCGACCCGAGCTCCTTTTGTTGTTCCCGCACTCAAGAAACACACGGCCACCGTGATCATGGCTCATGGCCTGGGCGACAGGTTGGTGTTCATGCCTTTAACGTAGTGTCAGTTAGCTAACAGCTTTCCCTTGGAATAGCGGTGCTGGATGGTATGTATTACCTTCTCCCTCGAAGAAATTGAAGGATGCCAAATACAGGCACTAACCAGGTTCTCCGGATAGGATGGGCCTTGCTCAGAACTGGCGCCGTAGAGGCTTGTTCGAAGAAGTTACTTTTATTTTTCCCAATGCGCCCATGATTCCTATCACAGTGGTATGTAAATTATGTTCTAGGGTGAGAGATAATGGGCTGATATTCGATTCTGCGCGCTGCAGAACTTTGGTATGTCAATGCCTGGATGGTACGACCTTTCCAAGCTCGGCCGTGATGTGAGTTATCCTTGTTCCTGGTGCATTCCTATCAAATTGGTCTCATTTAACACCTTCGCAGCTGGATTTCGAAGAAGCTATCCGCACCCAGGACGAACCAGGCATCCTCCGCTCCCGCGAGTACTTCAACACCCTGATCAAGGAACAAATCGACCAGGGCATCAATCCTTCGCGCATAGTTCTAGGTGGATTCTCTCAAGGAGGCGCGATGTCTGTGTTTACAGGTGTTACCAATAAGGAAAAGCTGGGAGGTGTATTCGGACTTTCATGCTATTTGCTTCTGAGCGATCGCATCAAGAACCAGATTCCCGAGGACTGGCCCAACAAGAAGACACCGTTCTTCCTTGCTCATGGGACCGATGATGAGATAGTGAAGTATGAGTTTGGAAAGACCTCGTCAAAGCTGCTTCAAGACCTCGGAGTGGAGAATGTTCAGTTCAACTCTTACCCGTGAGTATTGCCATTTTTACACGGTATGACTAAGTTACTGATTCGGTGTTAGTGATCTTGGCCATTCTGCCGATCCCCAGGAAATCGAAGATCTGGAGAAATTCCTTCAGCAGGTCATCCCTGCGGAAGGTGATGGTCAGGCTTCCGCCGGGCTATGACTTGATGGTCCCCCCCGGGTTTCGATCTTGGAGAAGATGACATCTAGCATGGTCTTGGGTATGGTATGCTTATTGGTTGCGGTTTTGTTCTTGAGATACCATTCCAGAGATAGAAGCGATGATTCAAAGAGATAGCATTGAGCATCAGAATTCTGCTTTATACATGTGTTCCTATTCATCTATTGTTCAATAAACCCAGACGCACGCCGTACATGATTCCCTGTTCGTATCGTTTTCACATCTCGAGTAAAGCAAAGCAAGTTTCTTGAGTCCTAACCTGTCTTCGCGCGCTTAATGGTTTTTTCGATAGCAGCAACCATGGCTTCTGTATTCTTAGCATCGAAGGGAATCAAATGCCTCGATCCGTGGTCGTAAAACTCCGCCTTCGATGGTTCGCACAGACCATACAATTGCATACTGAGGTCGTAAATCCCATCCTGCTTACCTACAATATGAGTCGTAGGAATATTGATCAGATACTCCCCTGGCGTCGGCTGGATAGTCTCCATTCCAGATGTCTCGTACGGCGCCGCACCGCAGATGAAGACAGCGGCTTTGAACAGCGGCACGTCATTTGTTTTGGCATGGTTAATAAGAAGCGAACCTGCAAGAGCAGCGCCTTGTGAGAACCCCATTACAGCGTCGAATGGGCCTTTCTTCTTAATGATATCCATGGTGTACTCGATCGCACGCGCGAGGTCTTCACCGGGTGCGGTATCGCGGGGATAGTGTTTGTAGAACGGGGGGTCCAAGATACCCTTCAGTTCTAGACCCAGTTATGGTGATGATATGGAGAAAGAAGAAGAACTCGTACCTGGCTCAGGTTCAGAGTCTAATCGGCCATCAACATATACGAAGCGATGCCCTTTGGCTTCCAGAGCCTGACTTATGCCCCCTGTTTGTGGTTAGAACGAACGATTTGTGGAACGAAATGTCATGGTCATCTGCGGTTTCCTCTCCAGGGTCCCCAGATGTTGATTTAATTACCGGATTGGATCTCAAAAATCTACTTGTCGATTAGTATTCTTCATGTGGCCGAGAGATGAAAAAGCAGTCATTGTCCCACATACTTCCCCGCTTGTGCCGGAGCCATGTAAACAGAGAAATCGCATCTTGAGAATGTGAAGGTATGTAGTGATAGCACTTGAGCAATGCCAGGAACGATCTGCAGTTGAATATGAGGTGTAGAATAAATCGGACTCAAACAATGGAGTGTTGAATGGCTAAATATATTTGTGTTGTGGTGACTCTTACTTCGTCTTGCAAGGTTGCATGCTGACAGTGCATATTTACCCGAGTAAAACCAGAATACGGGAGTTAGATTACCTAGTCGCTTACCTTGCATCTCACTAGCTTCTCTCGCTCACCACTACAACAATTTACGTGAGAAAAGTGGATTCTCCAAACATGGAGTATATTCATCCTTTTCGGTACTCTCCCTATTAAGATATGTCTTGAATCAGTCGAGAACCCATGATGGATAAATTGCATATCCCTTGCGTCGTCTATGAAGTGGAGAAGTTAATTTAGATCGAGAGTTAATCTACTCCGTAGGAACCTCGGTCGCTGAACGCGGAGGCACCATGCAGTCAACGTCCGTGTTTCACGACATCCCTACATTCCAGCACAAAAAAGACCCGGCTAGTATTATATATCTAGAAAGGCGTCAGCTAACTGCACAGCTCCTCTTTGACTAAAATACAGTACATTACGTTCGACATGTCTCTCTATCAAAATCTCGCTCTCAATGGCTCTTTTGCCTGGCAAGGCTTGCGCCATCCATTGGATATGTACTCAAGTCTTGGTCCTACGTTGAGCGAAGCTACCTTTGGCTTGTTGGGATTCTCCTTTGAGCCGAGAAGAGATATTGGCGACCTCTCCGGGAAGGTCATTTTTGTCACAGGAGGTAAATCCTGACTGAGTTTCGAGTTCGTACAGACCCTCTTTCCAGCCATAACATACTAACATGTGACGAATTCTTTTTCAGGGAATGCTGGTCTTGGAAAAGAGACCGTTCTTCAGCTTGCGCAACATAACCCGTCCCGCATATACCTCGCCGCTCGAGATGCCACTAAAGCTCGCGAGGCCATCAGCTCGATTCATGACACTATTTCCGCCTCCGTCGACATCAGACATATTGATCTTGATTTGTCTTCTTTCCAGTCTATACGCGATGCTGCAGAGAAGTTTTGCTCGGAGTGTGACCGCTTGGATATCCTGATCCTCAACGCCGGCACCATGGCGAATCCGCCAGAGCTTACAAAGGAAGGGTTCGAAATTCAATTCGGAACAAATCATATAGGCCATTTCCTGCTTACCAAACTGCTCCTCCCCACGCTAAAAAAAACCGTCGGAAGCCCCTCATCAGATGTAAGAATAGTGACGTTGAGTTCCGTGGGGAGCCATGCTGCTCCGTCCTTTGATGTCATGACCTCAACGTCTGCTCTCCTGGCCGCCCACACGCTAGTCCGTTATAGCGCGTCCAAAGCTGCCAATATCCTTTTCGCGTCGGAGCTTGCTCGCCGATACCCAGAGATTCTCTCGGTTTCTGTTCATCCGGGTGCAGTGTCCAGCGAACTATATCGCCATACCAGCGCGATGAATGCCGTCTCAAGATTTGGGCTTAATATACTTTCTACTGTGTTTCGTAGTATACGCACAGGAGCAATGAATCAGCTCTGGGCGGCTGGGACGGAGAGAGAGCAACTGGTCAACGGGGCTTACTATGTCCCAATCGGGGTGCGCGGCTCGAGCAGATTCGCCGATGATGCAGACATGGCACGAAAGCTCTGGGAATGGACGGAGAATCAGATCGCCGAGAAATCGTGATCCTCTGGTCTGTTCTGCCTCGTGTTGCCTGGCAATCTGGTACACATAATCTGGTTGATATATATGCCTAATCTTAATCGCTATCTATTTTGGACTATTGTACTCGATACAGTTGTTTTTGGCTAGATGTTTGGCTAATCAGTGTCATTCTATTATATATTTTTTGTCTTTCTTTTCTTTTCTCTCTTTTTACAAAACAATCCAATCCGCCTTCAAACGCTCAGGTTACGAATTACTGTGACCGGAATTAGTAAAGTATGCGGCGGATCACCTAGCAAGACAGCTAAAGCGGTACGAGATGAGTGCATCCAAACGGACAGGAGAGCTCTGTTGCGAAAACCACAAAGAATGGCAGAGAGCTGGTCTTGCCCGAGTTCGTCGTCTTCAGCCATGCATAACCGGATTGACATGCATGATGACGGATCCATGATCGTTAGGGTTTAGCCGAGCAGCTGCCAAACCTCGAGAGCCCATTCGAGCCCACAATCAATATCCGGACCACCAGCCGACCGACTGGAGAGGAGAATTCAGGTAGAAGAGGGAGGCACGTATGAAGGTGAAACAAACCAGCGTAAAAGAAGAAAATGCCCGACCGTGTAGAGGAAATAGCCCGGGCAGGACTCAGTCGTCGTGAGTAGAAAATGTAGAGGAAGCGCCACAAGTCAGCATTAACCCCCCACACAAACCAACTTTCACCTCATCATCAGCCACAGTGTGTTTCTCAACTCAACCACTTGAGACTCTCACCATTCAACTGACCAACGATTTTTATCTTCTTGGTACGTGGACTCTTTCCCCCCCTTCTTACTCTCTGTAACCTTCTATTCGTCCTTTGTCTCCCCTAACCGGTGTGTATTGTTGTCCCTCTTCCCCTCATCTGTTGGACATGGAGCATCAGCCACCGCTTTCTTGGCAGCCACACATTCTGCCACAAAGCCTTACCGAGTCCGAGTTTCCACAGATCCAGATTATTGACGTCCATTCATCCCACTAGGTTCAAGGAACATCTTCTCAACACACAATCATCATCATGGATCAGGCAAAGTTGGCTCGCATGCAGGCTAGCGTGCGGATTGGTACGTGTCCATTCCATATTTTTCTCCCCTCCATTTCCCCCCAATCCTTTCTGGAAATAAGTGGTCCTGGGATTTAGTGGCATTGGCAGCGAGAGGAACTGGTCGCTTAAGCCGGAGGAAATGCGATACCCGTCGCGGACGAGTCTGCAAACCGCCAAAGCTCCAAAGACCAGACGCCAGTCGCGACATGAAATCCCGGGCAGCTTCAGAAATGGGAATTCCTTTGAATGACTTGGATAATGTGACGTGATCCGTTAGCTAACCTATATCTTCATGTTGAACAGGGTACGTATAAATTCTCTTTCTTTTCGCACAGTTTCTCTCGGGTACCGCCATTCGACCACGAAAAATGGGAAATTAACCCAACACACTCCCCCAATGCCCTATCTCGCCCTTCTCTGATCTACTCTCAATTCTTACAACCCCGACCATGAATCCACCCGACTGACGAACTACCCTAAAAAACAGAGGCAAGGGCACTCCCCGCCGCAAGGTCAAGAAGGTCCACAAGTCCTCCGGCGCCGACGACAAGAAGCTCCAGGCTACCCTGAAGAAGATGAACGTCCAGCCCATCCAGGCCATCGAGGAGGTCAACATGTTCAAGGAAGACGGAAACGTCATCCACTTCGGTGCTCCCAAGGGTATATATAACCACCCATCCATCCACCCACACAACCGGCGCTTATAAATCCACCCGGCACACCCGCCGGCTGGAAAAACGTCGCAACCTCACAAGAAATCCCCCCAAAAAAGTACAACTTGCTTACTGATTCTACTCTCTATAAAGTCCACGCCTCCGTCCCCTCCAACACCTTCGCTCTCTACGGTAACGGCGAAGAGAAGGAACTCACCGAGCTCGTCCCCGGTATCCTGAACCAGCTTGGCCCCGACAGCCTCGCCTCCCTCCGCAAGCTCGCCGAGAGCTACCAGAACATGCAGAAGAACCAGGCCGGCGCCGAGGGCAAGAAGGATGATGATGAGGATGATATCCCCGATCTGGTTGAGGGCGAGAACTTCGAGAGCAATGTCGAGTAAATTCGTTAACCATATCATATCATATCATGCGTTTTAATTGATTGATATAAAAATGTGAACAAAGACATTAAAAAAGGGCTGTCATAATCTTTTTTTTCTTTTTCTTTCCTTTACTAACTCTAACACTTTACTTTTTCTTAATCGGTTTCTTGTTATTTTTTGAGGACTTTATTCTCCTGGTTCCTTTTGTTTCTTTGGAACTGGATTCTAAGGTGGGGTCTGATGGGTCATTGTGTTGTTGGGATTGATGATTGTGAGTGGCACAATGGGTGAAGAGGATGGGAGGGGTCTTGTTGACAGGGTTCAATGAGATTGTGCTAGAAGTTCTGCTGTTAAGGGTACAGTAACCGTAGGATTCTAGTACTTTTCTTACAGATGATAGGTAAGAAGCATGTCGCAAAGCGAACACCGACATTTATATACAAGTATTGTAATCCTACGAACAGCTGTAGACAAGTACAATGCGACTAGTTTATTAATTCCTTTCGCCTTCCATGCATAATTAATAAAGATCCCGACCAGTAAATGCCATAAATCATAGAGTATACGAACGAAAACTGCCAACTCGGCTAACGTCAACTCGCGCCAACAGTTGTCGGCGGGGGTGGTGCTATCGTACATGCAAGGGTATTGGTATTGCTAAGCCAGTCATAGTACTGTTTAGTGGAGACGTTTGCTCACGAGCGGGAATGCCTCCGGGCCCGAAGCTGGGCTTGCATTGACTGACGCTTGCAGAGCTTCGCATCGCCGGTGCTAAGTTCAGGTGTAGTTGGTAAGAAGTGGTGGAGGAATGAATGGGAGCAAGCATTGTGAGAGATCATGATTCCTCCCGCAATCCGCAAATATCTGTGCCGAGAACCATATCGATCATATACCAGAAACGCCAGTAGGTGTTTGACTTATCATAGTCGAATGTCCCATCATCCTTGAGCTGCGGCCCATCTCCCACGATGTCACCGGTGAACCAACTGAGGATCGGAATGGATCGCAACACGCGCTCGGTGACGGTCGGTTGGGGCGGGAGAGCCTCAGCGATCGGGCGTAATTTCGCCCGACGCACCGTCGGAATATGTGTCATGAACTCAGACTCGGGTTTCGGCTCTTGGGGCACATTCCGTTGTTGAAGGGAAGCTGTAGATGGTTGATCCACACCGGTGGCAGTCATCGAGCTTGCAGTCGGCGTCGATTCAAATGATTGGCTTTCTTCTACATCCGGGACACTAGAGAGGTTATTCACAGTGAATGACCGCGGTAACGTCGAGCGTTCATTCGTCTGGAGGAACGTGGTCGAGCGCGAAGTGGTCAAAGTGCGCGATGCTTTCGATTTTTGCTGTTCGGCGGCCGATGAATCTGCAAGGATTGGTACATCCTCCGCGGGTCCTTGGCCATGATACAGTTCACAGAAAACAAGGTGTCCATCGATCTCCTGGGGAGAGTAGAAGCAAGCGCGGTCCGCCGCGATCGTCGAATCGAACGTAACCTTGATCCAGTGGAAGCCACCCGCATAACGTTTCGATTTGCGGTTCGCATCCGCAGACAAATTCGAATGGATCACCACATCGCCGCCGCTCAGAAGCTGCGAATACCCACTCATGGAGTTAGGATCGCAGCGCGGGTAATCTTCACAGATCACGCCTCTGGACACCCGCTCATACTTATCGATCACCTTCCACTCAAAGTCTTTACTCTTGTAGCCGTACAGTATGCATTCTGTGGCGACCTTTTCCGTCTGCTGTCGTGCGTTGTCGAGATTTGAGGTAGATGTCGACTTCGGTAAGGTATTGCTGCGAGTCTTCTCCTCTTCTTGCTGCATAGCGAAAAGCCGTCCGAATTCCGCAACATTTGGGTTTTCCTTCTTTGCAGGTGTTCCCGTACGGGTACGCGATCGAGCATGATCGTAGCGAGCGTTTCTCCTCTTTCCAAAAGGGCCACTCTCTTCGGGTGGTCGTCGAGGGTTCCGGGATTCACTGCACGATTAAGTTAGACATGTTAGTCAACAATATCAATGAGCAGCAGATATAAGGGGCAAAAAGTAATCGTATGCTCACTCTTTGTAGACATAGCCCCAGGGCAGAAGATTGCCCTTGTCATCTTTTGCGCGCTCCTCCGGAGGAACAAAATGATACTCCATATTATGAATGTATTGTGGTTCTTATTGATTTAAATAAGGATTGAAAGGAGGCAATGCAGCCGGGGTGATGAAAGCTGTATCTAATGAGCTAGGATGTAAAATGAAGCTTGCTGTCAAAACCTCGATGAGGAAGCAGTCGATCTTCCCAAAAGTTTTGGGGCTGCGGTAAACACTTCTGTTAGCCCGGGGACGGTCACGTGGGCCCCATCTATCATTCCAGAGGCCATACATCCTGATACTCTAGAACAGCCATCTATAATGCTTATCTAGATGTATTTACTTATTTTAAACATTTATATTAGATTTTCTATACCGTGACCTGGTACATAGGCGGTATAATGTCAATTTAACATTATGTTCGCTTTTCCTGTGGCCGAAAAGGAAAGGCTTCGAGGTCTTGACATCCAAGCACTATTTTTTTTTTTTTTCTTTTTTATTCTAAAAAAAAAAAAATCCCCCGATTTCTTTCTTGGTACGGTATCTCAGCATATGATGCTCTAGCCCTGTCGTAAGAATTTTATATATCCAGCATCGTTTCCTAGTCCGCACACTTCTCCAAAATCTCCCACATCCGATCTTCGTCCTTCTACATGCTTAACAAACTCCTTCAACGGACACGACAGCCCGGGCCCAGATTTGCAGTATGGCAGTGGTACAATTTTGTCATTTATATTAACCCGAAGAATGGCTTCTTCACCACTGGAGTTCTTCGCCGATGAGGTTTGACAAGTCAACCGCTCAAGAACGATTCTTCCGCCCATTGGCAGCACGGACGAGGTACGCCAGACGCGGTCTGCCACTCTATGTGTGGTCGGTAAGAACGGATCATACTTTGGGTCTCTCATGATATCTAGTGCTGTGAGGAAGGGGGCGATATCCCCATCATGAACGCTAAACCAGGGAGTCAGTATGCTTCGCAATCAATTGATCTTTGGGAGCCACGATGTCACCCACAAACTGAAGAACATAGTACCAGCGTCCGGCCCAGATCGTAAAAGAGCAGTCGTAGCATTGAGCCAGAGCCAGCCCATCGCCCCAGCGTATGGGTTGCCTGGACCAGCACGGTAGTAGTGAATCAAATCACGGGCGTATTCGAAATTCTCCCAATCGTCGTGAGTAAATATATCGCACCAAGGACTTGACCCGCGAGCGATCGTCTCGAATCCGCACATCTCCTGCATACTATAGACCTCCAGATTGGTTAAGTATCCGAGTGCCAGATTTTGCTCGTCATTTATTAGTCGCTCGGCAATGGCCGGAATGTACACATCCTGGAAAAGAGCCAGCATATTGACACCATTGTCGTGTCCTTTCACAGAATCTTCGATGTATTTTGGGCATGAATCGCCCGGCGTCAGAGTGTCGGCGCCTCGCTCGAGTGTTTCGGGAATGATCTCCAACGTAGCCTTTTCAGTTTTTTCCCAATCCAGGCCGAAAAATCCAGAAGCGAAATGTTGCGCTGTTTCAATCACGCGGCCACTCTCACTTGCCCACAGCCTTGTCGTCCCCTGGCGTGGCAACAAATGTCCGTATCGCGTTAAGAAGCGAACGCCTGTTGAGAAAGCTTGAAGTGTGCCAGCATACGGACTAGTTCTGGTCAGCTGGTCAAAGTCTTTCTGCGGCTCATCGGTAAAATATGTCCAGTCGTTCAAGAACGATAGTGAACCATTAAGAACCACGTTTGCTTCTTTGATTCGATTCAGAAGTGCAAGGTGACCTTGGGATAGATGTTAGGAATAGTAGGCTCTGTTGAAATACCAGTGATGATGGTAGAGCGGGACATACGACTCCCAGCAGATTTGGTCGGATATCTTTCCCCGTGACGAGACATCTATTAGCCATTAGTATTTATTTCTGAACCGACTCAAGTGATAGTTCAAATTCGGATTGTAGACGTCCATCTAGAGGACTATGCGGTATGCAAGACAACCGTACCATATGCACCTGGTCAATAACGCACCCCTTTGGGGGTTCAAGGCCCGGTGTTTCAAGGCCGTCAGTCTTCTCTATCCATGGCCCGTTGCCGCCTAGGTGGTAGACTATGTTCCAATCATTGTCTTGATATCCGGTCTGGCCTGTTCGGAGTGGATTGTACCACGCGTTCCAGCTTGCGCAATGAGGTGACCCAATGTCCGGAGCAGAGGGGTTGCGGTTATAGAAGAAAACACTGACAATCGCAGTCAAGAGGGAAAGAATCAATGCCCATGGTGATGTTACAACCAGCATCTTTCATATAGTAGTCTTTTTATCGTGGGTTAGACATGCGGTAGATCACTGAGCGATAGAAGGTGGAGACAGTGTTGTAAGTGGTATGCAAGGATCGACGAAGTTGCCGAGACAATAAATTTAAATTCATTTATTACAACGCTCTGTAAGCAGTGAAACAATCGAGTTACTCCCTGTCCACTAAGAGCACTTTAAGTCCACGATGACTTTCTACTTTTCCCCTCTACTACTAATTATCAATTTAAAATATTACGGCGCACGATCGCGGATAACAGCGTCTTCTATGTTGTCGTTTCAATACATTTCTATCGATAAGTCGAATATATACAGACCAGATGAGTTTTTCCTTCTCTGAAAATCACATCTGATCACTGTCTATCTATTTCCACAGTAGTGGCTCTATGTACTATACACTCACGTACTATAAATAAATCGAGGACTTTTATCTCCCAGTTCTTCAATCTCTTCCTCGGTCATCCCCGCAACCTTCTCGTCCTCCAGGCCTTGGACTCTGCGAATGTTCTTCTGGCGGTAGTAGAACCACATGAGTCCATACACTATTCCTGCAAATCCCACAAGGCCTAATGTCACGGCATTTCCCCGGACATACCGAGGCGCTTCGTTATTTTTGTACAAGAACGGTGACATAACACCGCTAATGTTGCCAAACGTGAGTTGCAACCCTGTAGCAAAGGTACGCTTGCCATAGCGAGGAAGCGTAGTGGGAAGCCATGCGAGTGGCAACCCGACCGCCACATACAGCCCCAGGGCGATGAGCAATGCGCCGAAGTAATGCACCCCGGAGGATGTATCAGAAATCAGGATTCCGTAGCCGACAACGGAAATTGCGCAGAAAATACAAATGAACAGACCGCGGCGCTGAGTTCGGTCGCTGACCCAAGCGGTCACCAGATAGGCCAACGCCCCAAGTGCATAGCATGGAATTGTTAGTGCCTGTACTTCGGGCGTCGACCATGAACCCATGCCCTTGATGATAGTGGGAAGGAAAGTACTATAGCCATAAAGCATGGTATCGATGCCGAATTGAGCGATGGAAAACGCCCAGATCCTCCAATCAAGTGCGCCCTCTTTGACATCTGCCCAGTGGAACTTCTGCGCAGATGCCGTTTGACCCACGTAGCGCATCCGTCGGCGGACCACGAGGGCCTTCTCTTCTTCGTTCAAGTAATAAGCTGTGTCAGGATCATCGGCTAGAACGAACCACGCCACCACTCCTAGGAGTACGGTTGGGATACCTTCCAGTATCAGAATCCACCGCCAGCCTCGAAGTCCGCTGATCCCATCCATGAACCCAATTGCATATGCTAGAAGTCCGCCGAATGCACCGGCTGCTGCTGCACTGCTAAAAAGATACCCGGTCCGGAGAGCGAGCTCACGCTTGCTATAAAACAGGGTGAGATATGTTATAAGCCCGGGAAATAGCCCGGCCTCCACAACACCTATGTTCATTAATATTTGATATGGCTGCAGAATCAAGACTGTTACTAACCTAGGAGGAGACGGCACGCGATCAGCCCTCCATAATTCTGGGTGATTCCTGTTAGGGTCGCTATGATACCCCAAATCACCGAAATCGATGCAATGTAGCGTGACGGCCGAAGTTTCTTGAGGACCAGGTTCGATGGTACTTCAAATAACTATATGGAACAGTCAGAAATCTTGCCGTACCCACAGATGCCAGAGATCAACCATACACAGTAGGTTACAAATAAGATAGACACAGCGACCTGGTACTGGTTCCCAACTAGGCCTAAGTCTTCTTCCAGACCATACAGTCGAGCATTGCCAATGTTCACTGCGATAAATATGTATCAGCAGGCCAGCATTCGAAACGGAATGAAACAGTGGGTTGAAGCAATATCCTCATGGACATAGGAAGGGGAGCCAACCTCTATCCAAAAAACTAAATAAATAGAGAAGCACAACCATCGGCAAAATATGTATATCGATTTTCCAGAGCAGATGCTTTTCGCTCTCCCCTTCAAGAAAAGAGGACCCGGTGTCGTTTTCCTGGGGTGCTATCATGTTGCTGCCCTGTCGGGGTGATTCAACGTCCGGTTTCGGCTCACTTCGGTACTCCATGGCTGTCGCTCAAAATCTGAACCGATGTACTTGACTTTGGTCTCTGTTTCCTCTAGAATTGGAACAATTTTCAACAAAATGTCTCGCAGAAAGAGAGGAAGGCCCCTGATCAGTCCCCAGCGTTTGAACACACAATCACACCGAGCGACCTTGCATCATGCAAAAGATCGAAACACTGACGCAAAAGTATCCGAAAGAAGGGAACCCCGCGCTTCGTGTTCGCGCCAGAGTGTAACGATAATTTTATGAGCAGAATGCCAAGATCACCGATCTGCAGTTGATCTCAAGATCCCTGAAGACTAAGTGAGACAACAGACTAGGGTATCATTCAGGGACAGAAGATCGTAGAAGAAAGCAATGGAGGAGTCATTTCATTTCATTGATCATGGCAAATTAGCTCATGTTTAGACTAGTGGACCATGTTTTTTCTCACCCCACTATTGGCTCCGGTGGGATGATGGTTAAAGTTTTACACTCCGGCTTTTGAAATTTTCCTCCTTCAATACAATACATTGCATGTCGCTACTCCAGTCACAGGTTCAGGCTAATAGTTCCTGGTATTTATCTTTCCTATTGTCATTTTTACTAGTACTTTAACATCTTGGTTCAAGTGAGAGCACATCGTGGTATGAGCCAGAACACGGTCAAGGTTGCAACTGAAGGATACTGGAAAAGACCCTGAAAGATTAGCAGTGTGATTTGCCGTTGTCCCGCGGAGCAAATGCCGCTTTGCAATTCAATGCATCCAAAAATCATCGCAAATCCAGTTCTGTGGTATACTTCCCACTCATGTTAAGCAAGGGGTTCTACCCCGTGATAGTACTTACGTGTAATGATAACCAGACAGCCCAACTCAATTGTTTAGAATCCTTTAAGGTTATCATCTACCAACTCAATTAGTATAACCTTACCTATGCTGTGTAGAGTTGGCTCACCGCGTGAAGTTCTATAGATGTGGTCAAGTGGAAACCTTCAACACGCTTACCGGTTTACTATTTATTTTCCCTCTCTCTCTTTCCTTCCTTCCTTCCTTCCTTCTTTCTTTCTTTTTATCTTTGTTTCCAACAACCCCTTCCAGAAATATGAGAATAAACAGCTAATAGAATGCGATGCCTGGTAACGTCATTGCCGAGTATATCCCAGTTTCCGAGGTAAACACAGCTCACGTGGTTAACCCCCCTCTTTGGCCCTGTTAGCTGCTGCTATTACCGAATATAATAACATCGGGATAATCACGATCAATTTACTTGGCCATTCACGAGCATAATTCCCACTAGCATTCGAAACCATCCAATATGCCCGAAAGGTATGGAGATTACCAGTCCGTCATCTATGGCCGTGGGGCTATAGAAAGCGTTCAGCCGAATGTCACGACAGACCCTCGGCTTCTCGAGGAACAGGCCCGCAAGGCTCTGGGTGCCCGATCCTTTAATTATGTCGCTGGAGGGGCCGGTGAAAAGGCTACCATGGACAGCAATCGGCTGGCGTTTCGCCAATGGAAACTGTAAGCTTGCGATCGGGCGTACATTTCGCGGTAGCTGACATAATGTGTATAGTATTCCCAGAATGTTGAGACCGGTTTGTTGTGGTCAGAATCTCTTTTTACGTTCAGGGACTGATCGCCTTGTATAGGTGGATAACCAGGACCTGTCAGTAGAGCTCTTTGGCCACAAGTATCCGAACCCAGTCTTGATGGCACCTGTCGGTGTCCAGAGTTTATTCCATGAGGATAAAGAGACGGGTCTAGCCGAATCATGTGCAGACGTCGGAGTGCCGTATACTCTCAGCACGGCCAGTACTAGCTCCATTGAAGAGGTGGCCGAGGCCAATGGGGACGGAAACCGATGGTTTCAACTCTACTGGCCGCAAGATGATGACGTCACGCTCTCACTTCTGAAGCGCGCCAAAGACAATGGCTTTTCTGTTCTCGTAGTCACTTTGGATACTTGGTCCCTTGCCTGGCGACCGGCCGATCTGGACAATGCTTTTGTCCCATTCATCAAAGGTGTTGGCAACCAAATCGGCTTCTCTGACCCGGTGTTTCGTGCAAAGTTCGAGAAGGAATCCGGCTCTAAACTAGAAGAAGATATTGTCGGAGCATCTCGGGCGTGGACCTCTGACGTGTTCCCTGGCCGGCCTCATACGTGGGAGCACATCTCTTTCCTACGGAAGAATTGGGATGGGCCAATCGTTCTGAAAGGTATTCAGCATGTAGAGGATGCAAAGCTTGCTCTCACAGCTGGATGTGACGGTATCGTTGTTTCTAACCATGGAGGTACGTGGATCACACCCGGATAATGTCGCTCTTATTGATTATTGACGCTCTACAGGCCGACAGGTGGATGGTGCCATTGGTTCATTGGATATGCTTCCTGAGATAGTGGAAGCCGTTGGTGACAAGATGACGGTCCTATTCGATTCCGGGATCAGGCTGGTGCAGACGTCGTGAAAGCTCTATGTTTAGGAGCCAAGGCAGTGTTTGTAGGCAGACCTGTAATATACGGACTTGCAATCAATGGAAAAGAGGGAGCCAAATCTGTGATGAGAGGACTGCTGGCAGATCTGTGGCAGACCATGAGTCTGTCCGGTATCTGCACCGTCGCCGAATGTACTCGAGATAGAGTCAGGAAAGTCCAGCACCCAGGAGATGTGAAGGCTATGATGTGATCAGACACCACAATTATTATTGGGCTGTATAGTGACTTGTCATAAGATCATGTTCTTCCTCGGCCACGAGATTGGCGAGCGTATTTTAAAATAGCAGAATGCACGGCCAGTAGACAAATCGGAAAACAGAAAATGATCGCAAATAAAGTTCTCCTTCAGTAGTCTTATGTATTTAGCCAATGCTAATCATGGGATGTGATTCCATGGCTCTGCTAGCCGAGAACCCGTTCCAACGGAGTCGAGCTGGATAGTTTGTTGGGGCAAGCTGAAAATCACATGTCAAATATCCGTCAACATATTTCCCCCTGATTAATGCACGGAAAGGCGGAGGATGACTTGTACCTTGCCGCTTGGTGCTGATCGACAAGACTACACCTCATTGCCCTCCCCCCAGGAACTTGGTAACTGACGCAACATCTGACGGTCTGACTTGGCAAAGAATACTACTTACATTATCTATCGTCTTATCTCCGTTGCCACGAAAGTAGTTCTTCCTGTTTGTGGATGCGTTCGCTCATGGATTCTAAACACCCTTTTAATGCAATAAGAAAGAGAGCTCAAGTGATCAGTTTAATGAATCGCGATGCCTAATCTATTCGGCCTTGTGCCAATCTTGAGGCGAGATGAACCCCAACCTGATCTGGAATTGGCTCAGGGTAGTGGCGCAAGTCATATACCCGCAACGTCGGGCGCGACTCTACTCCCACGTCCAATGGCTTCAATTGTTTCCTTTGTTACTCAGTCCACTTCGCTCTCCCTCAGAGTTGGGACGTTCTTCGGAGGAGTGGCCATCGATGGAGCAAGAGCTACCACGCTGACGGGGTTGGAGCTCAGTAGAGCAGTCATTGAAGGCGTCCTGACAAGAGCTGGACGGGATGTGGCCACGAGGAGCAGCGGAGAACATGGCAAAGTAGAAGCAGAATCTATACTGGAGCGAAGCGTAAGTCCAAGTCTAGTCCCTACTTTAAATTTGCTTACATTAGCTAAGTAACATTAAGCTTGCCGCTCTGCACAAGTCGGTCACGTCTGCATCGTTCTTCGTCGCTGCAACGTTCCATTTCTCTTCTACAACTCTTTCATCTGCTTCGAACATGTCCCAGGCGCTTTTGTCTACTCTTGATGCAATACTTGGTTCAACTGAGTCTTCAAGGGCGATAGCTGCTATCATAACGCTTATCCGAAGAGAATTTCGGAACCCAAGCGTTGAGTCTATGACTGATGATAACATTGGTGTTGGGGACCTCTTGGTAGGCACAGTTGGCTTCGCCATGCTTCAACGCTGGGGAAGGAAAAATACAGAACGACAAATAAGTACGAATGGTGGGGACGAGGCCATCTGGGATGTTGTCATCTTGGATAATGGCGTCAGAGCAGATGTTGTTGGGATGCACCAGATAGAACTTACGAGGAGGCCTCGTAGCGACTTTCACGATGAGACGAGGCGTTCATCTTTCATATCGCCTGGCAATGACGAGGAAGCCTTCGATGCTGTGCAGCGTCCGGCGAGTAGGGGTGATATGACCGAGAAACATTCCCTTTCGCTTCCTCCAGGAGACCATCAAATGTCCGACGATGAAATCCGGTTGTATATTATGAAGCAGCTTCCTCAAGGCTGTCGTGCCTCGATAAAGACCGATCTAGTCACTGCACGTACTATTACAGTTGACATCTACGATGACGACAGCGCAGAGATTGCTGCTCCACCCGGTACGATGGTGATTGAGGAAAGGTTCCGTAACGATCAGTGCTTTGGCAGTAGTGCGGGATCGAGCCCTCCCCAACTTCCCAAGCACACTGTTGTTTTTCGAACGGCTTTCAATAAATCTCAAAGTGCAGACGTGAGGCTATCACGCGGAGACGATATCTCGGGTATATACGAGATCAATTCTGACCATGGCAACCAGAGTCCTTCCTTGAGTCAAGGCATTACGATTACTGGCTCACCCCATGACGCCGAGTCAACTGTCGCAAATCACCATCATGCTATGCTCCAAGACAAACCAATACAAACTATCCAAACTGCAATTGAAGGTGGCAGCCATCGAAACCCTCGTTTGCCAGGAACCAATGGACTGGATAAATCTTCATACGAGCCAACGCTGCCCGCTGATTCAAGCAGCTCTAAACGATACCGTGTAGAATCTGCTAGGACCGCTTCAAACGAAGCTGACACCACTTCAAAAGGCTCGTTTGGGAAAGGCTCCCTGACGAGGATTGCACAGAAAGTGAAGCCGGCGTATGTTGAGAGAAGTGACCAGAGTAAGCGACTATCGGGGAAGGAAAAGTCTAGCACACCACCTGTCCATTCCGTCCAACGCAGCAAGGGTTCGAAAAGCTCCGTCCCTGAAAGAAAATCATCAGCTTCCAGACAATCTCCCAAACCTGCCGCAGAAGCAAAACAGGAAAAGCCGCCACTCCCTTCCAAGGCTCGACTTTCGCCTATAGCGAACCGAGGCTCACCAAGATCACCTTTACAAAGCGCTCGACTGCCTGTCCCTTCAACAGTGCGAAGTGGTAGCGCACGGGAAACGGCCCCCGAAAGGAATCCGATGCCTGAGTTTTACGCAATACACGAGAAGAATGAAGAATCTTTCATGAAGCAAACGGATGCTTATTCTACAAACGTGCGCCCGAAATCTTCTGCAGGTGTGAGAACACATGTGCGTAGCAGCAGTTCTATGTCAGTCACACGATCTGAGGCGGAAATGTCTGTGTCTGTCAATGATGGGCGTCCGGGCTCCTCAAATTTACACAAAAGTTCTCATACGTTTACTCCCAGCATATACTCTTTAGCAACGGCTGGCTCGGAGACGTCACTCATACTTGCACATCGGTCCCGCAAGAGTGCTTACGATGATATGGAAACTATGCAAGCATTAAGTCGCGATGGACTTGTACCAGGAATATTTCCCGAAAAGCATTTTGTGCAGAATATCAGGCGTTTCCTCCGGTTTTCCTCAGCATCTTATGGATCAAATGCCCTCAAAGTCATGGGTGTTCCACCAACGACCAAGGCTCTTGCATCTCAAGAATCTGACAGTCGAGAGCATAGCGACTTCTCAGATCACACTGGCCTGCCGGCTTCGACAATACTTCTCTCGTCCTTTGTCGATCCCGCGGGTGGGTCAAACGCTGCTGGGGAGACGGAGACTGGCTTTCCTCTAGTCCATTACCTGTTCCTAGACCATGAATCGAGGCCGTTGTCCTAACGCTTAGGGGAACATGGGGCTTCGAAGATATCCTCACAGATATGACCTGTGATTATGATGACCTGGTATGGCAAGGAAAGAGCTGGAAAGTTCACAAGGGTATGCATGCTTCTGCGCAACGACTGTTGATGGGGGGAGGTGGAAAAGTTATGATTACACTTCGAGCTGCTTTGGAGGAATTTTCAGATTACGGCGTGGTACTATGCGGTCACTCGCTAGGCGGAGGCGTTGCTGCATTATTAGCTACGATGATATCGGAACCTACGAATGATGGCTTCGGGACATCGTTTGTGACTACTTCATATCAAGCCACTGCGCAACGTTTACTCCTAACTGGAAGTAGCGAGACGAATCAAATGGCTTGCTTTCTTCCCTCGGGGCGACCTATACATGTTTATGCATATGGTCCGCCTGCATGCATGTCCCCTTTTCTTCGCCGTGCGACACGAGGGTTAATCACGACGATTGTTAACGGTCATGATGTGGTACCCAGCCTCTCTTTAGGAATTTTGCATGATATGCATACGGTGTCAGTGGCTTTCAAGAGTGATGTTTCAGGAACTAAGTCGCACGTACAAGGCCGTGTTTGGAATAGTTTGCGGCAGAGTATCGTTAATAAGTTCTACGTCAACGAGCCGCCTATAGTCCAGCATGCTGGTGACGGCATTGGTGAAGACGCTTGGGCATGGAAGACTCTCAAAATGCTCAGAGAGGAAATGCTCGCGCCTAAACTGATGCCCCCGGGAGAGGTATTCGTGGTTGAGACCATGCGCGTCCTTCAGCGGGACGCTTTCACGTCTGGTCTGGGTGATGATGGCCACCCGCGGCTGGGTCGTCCTGCAACGAGAGTCCAGCTCAAGTTTATTCGAGACGTCGAATCCGTCTTTGGAGAAATGAGATTCGGATCAGGAATGTTCAGTGACCACAATCCTGCACGTTATGAAGCAAGCCTCGCGGCGCTCTCGCGTGGTATTTTAGATGACTGATGTATCATGATTTGATCGTTATCTGACGTGAAAGGGAACGACATGCAGGCCCTAACCTCTTAAGCCAGCAACCCCTCATTTTCTCTTTATATATACTTTCATTTCCATTTGTCAAATCTCCGGTATTACACCGAAGAAGCTACCCAGTCCAGTACTGGAAGACGCACATATATACAGGCGATCCAAGTTGAATATACCCCCATGGCACAATCATTCATTAGAAATAAAACATGAAATTTCAATTACAACATCTTTAGATGTAATTGGCTGGTGCTCGCCGTACCGTAGCCCGGTTGAGCAACTGAGCCAGGCATAAATTATTTTGAGGATTCACAGCATCCGCGCGGCCAGAGGACGACCACACACTTATTTGGAATGAGTGATTCATTTCCTCATACCTGCGTGCTCTTGAGTTGCAGCGACCTTGCAACGCTTCTTTAGCTCAAGCCAGACGTGAATGCGTGAAGACCGTGGAGCGATATGGAAAGCAATAGATGATCGAGCACGGCAAGAGCTGTAGTGATCTCATCGTCAAACCAAATCTCCAATTAGTTCAGCTTGCCCATTGAAACCACGGAGGGCAAAACACCCCGGTAGCAACCAGCAAGCCCAGCGCAGGGCTTGATATACCGAAGGGGTAGCCCACATTATAATTATAGATAATCCAACATGGCCTATTGACTGTGCAACAAAGAATAAGTATCGTGTTGCGCAAAGGGCATCGTGCATCAAGGAACACCAACCTCCAACTTAAAATCCATAAATATAGCCTCATATTTAACCGTTATGGGGAGGCTCTCTCTTTGATCCGTCCAGACCCTTCTGTTTCCTTTCCTCAATTCGAGCATCTAGATCGAGCATCTGCCGTTCAACAAGTTCTTTCTTCGCCGCTAGATTTTCCCGCATACCCCGAAGAGACGCGATTCGCTCGTCTATTGTAGCTTCTTGTTTCTGTTGAACCGTCTATACACACGGAGAAATAAGTCAGCTAATTGAAACTGGCCGAGAAATATCACTGAGGTTCTTTGGCCATACCTGGGTAACCTCTTGTTCGGTCTTGATACCGGCGCCGTAGAGTGTTCCGGCGATGGTGATTGAGACTACTGCGGTGGTTAAAATAACACGGCGTGCTTTCTGGGAGGCCATAATGAAGAAGAGAGGTTCGATTGGCTCTACGGCTCAATGATCAAAAGGATAAACAGGAATTGGAGCGTTCGTGCGGAGATGAGGAATCTCCGCAATCAATTGAGGGTCTCAATCCGATCAAGCAAGGCGGCAACCGCATTGACCCGGCAGAATTTTTGAACGTTTTCTGAGATGGTTCATCGGATGCTGGATCTTTTGTAGGGTCATTTTTTTTACACTCGTCAGGTTACAGAATTTTGGTTTCATTAACCATATACAGTGCTAATAGGTAGTTTAATATTATGAGCAGGTTTGAAGCTGAATAAACAAATATTGATGGAGATAGAGGAGGTATACTTTACTACTGGAGGTCCATTTCCTGGCTGAGAGATTCAATGTGCCTGTACTAGCGCGGATTCTAAGAGTACCGCTTTCTTTTCTAGGAATAGCGGCTACCTTTCCATTTGTTGTCTAGTGTATCCGATCCTGCCGCTTTCCGATCATGAAGCAATCTAACCGTACTAAGTAACTAGCTATATTTACTATCGACAGGTCTGATAAACAGAAGGGGATTTGCAATTCGCCATGAATCAATAATTTGGTTAAAAACACTGATTGAGATTGACCGTGGCCATGACAAATAAAAGTTGAAAGAACAAGGGTCAGTGGCCTGTGCCATAGTCACTCAATTAACAGGACTTACATAGAATTTAATTTAATATATCAAAAAAGAAAAACATATCATTCACTATTCCCACGCAACTAAGTAAAATCAGAGGCCAGGAGTTTACATCTAAAATATCTCCGTGTCTATCCTTCGGCGTGTTATTATTAAAGAGCGACTGTTAATGGAATGTGGCTATGACAGAAATAAGATAAATATGATTAGAATATTCTATACCCATACTCATATGCTTAAATATTATGCATGTTTCCTTTTCCAATGTTGTATGTAGTCGTCCCTGCGAGTGAAAGTCCTATGATAGAACTCACGAGCAACCAGCTCCTGAAACCTCCACCGCTTTTTAACCCATATACGATAGACTATTTCAACATATCGGCGGACATCACCTTGTTCTATCCCGGTATAAGAGCATAAAGGGCACTTGACTGGCTTGATATGCATTCTCAAGTGCCTCCTAAAACCCGTTAGAAGAAAGGATAGGAAAGTGTGGCTATCAGGCATACGACTGATGCATATCTGGTATGGACAATGATAACTCCCATCTTCTGTAAGTTGGCTGGTATTTCTTCCATCCTTCCCTACATTTGATGTCTCGTTAGATCGCCACTTAGATATAAATGATACATTTTTAATATGTATAAGATCGTCACAGAAGCCCGGTTAAATGGAGCGCTAATTTGCTATTATTCACAGGAAGTTGGGTATTTTCTTTTTTATTAAGCCTTGAGAATGGTGTCCGACCAAAATTATCTTGATACTTCGAATCTGCTTTATGTTCAAGTATTTACTTCACTACTGCTTCATTCCCTCTCTGAAGCCAAGAAGAGAGGTGTCCGACCATCACTATCCGAGAACTCTATCGAGACGTTGGGCGGCCATTGTGCGAATGTTTTATCCCAGGACTGCCACCCAGTCGAACATAACCCGGGTCTTGCTATCAGTTCAGATGAGTCGACCTATATAGGTAATAGAAGATCATACGAGAAAAGAACGGCATTCCCATCAATTAACTAAACGTAAAGCACGCCCCACGTTCACAGGAGGGAGGAGGTCCCCGAGAGCCTCACGAGGGCTGGGCGTCCTTTTCGGACCTCCTCTTAGGAGGTAGAGCTCTATTCACCACGAAGATTACGAAGTGCCGCCTGCATTCATATAAGAGCTTCCTTCAATTCATCCTCCGCTATGGTCAGACAATCGATACTGGAACAGATCGAGCTATGCAGCTCAGCAGGACGGATGCGGGCGCCAGTGGATTATCCCAAATATCCTAATGAAGCCTCCCCTCTAACCATTGTGTTAATGACCCAGCAAATAGACATGTATTGTCTACATCTCCAAGTCTCAAATCGACCTTGAAAGTCCACATACCGCTCCTCAAAAACATTGCAAGAATCTGGAAATCTAGTAAAATTTCACTGGAGCCGCTACTAGGTAAATAGTCGACCTGAATTCCATGGGTATCGCGAATAGTAAGGTGGCCTAGTGGACCGAAGGGTGTAGTTTTTAACGGTTCTGTATAAGATATTTCCTCGTCGTAATTACCATCTGCGTAGATAGCAGAAAGGCTTACAGTAAAGGTGGCATTGACGAGGCCCTCGTCAGGAAGTTCCAGCTCCTTCTTTTTAGATTCAGGCAGATAACCGCGCAGGTAGACGAAGAAGATATGGTCGCTTTATTAGAATATGTTATTCTTAAACTGTACTTTAAGGAGAGAGGGGACCTTACGCGATAATGGGCGTCGGGGCAATCTCGAGGAACTCGACAGAGAATATCTGGTCTTCCTTTGGCACGATATCGTATACGGCATTGTTGTGGCCGGGGATCTTTTGTTGGGCCATAATATTAGCAAGAATAGCTAGGGCAGCGGTGTAGAAGGCGACTGTAAACCCATGTGGCTTGGCCAGGTGTCTCTATCCCTCCGCTAGCTTCCTATAAATATTCGTCTGTGTACATGGTCATGTGACTGAAGGGGGCGATATATGAGTGAACGAAAGAAGGGGAATAAACAAACAATAGATAGGAATCTGCGAGAGTATCGATTCTTTTATTTACCAGTGCATTGCTTTTCCGTGTGCCGCCTGTCCTCGACCATAACGATCCTCATTGCTACTTGACGAGGGGTCAGCACCCCATCGCTAGTACTTATACTAAATGCTCTGATATCCACGTTTCATATTTTTAGCTAACCAAAGGGCTCTTTAACTATTAATCGCGCGTCTTATGTGGCTTAAGTACGGCTGAGCGGACGGAAAGCCCTGTTCTCCACCCCCTATGGTCGTATGTGCGAGTTTTCTATTTGAAGAGGCTTATATCACTGCTCAGAGCAAACATTCGCTCTTGTTGCATACTCTGTACTTGTTGCCTTACCTCTGAAATCCGTTGAGAGCCAAGGCGACAGGTTTTGAGAAGACAACTTCCAAGCTGAAGGATAAGAACTTGATAGCAAACATCGAAACACGCCCTTCCAAAGACTACGCCTTTCCGGAGACAACCCCGACACCTTCGGATCTGATCCGAACCACTTGACGATGCGGGGTCTTCTACATAGATCTAAGGTTTATATCAGCCTCACGCTTGTAACTTATTGTCTATGCCGGTATTGAATAATTCGGCCATCGCCCGCTCTCATGGCTTCCAGACCGGCCATTGGCTCTTTCCGAGGGGCTCAGTTGGCAGGGAATACATCGCGAGGCAGACCTAACCCGCGCTGGCTGTGTCGAGATGGATCCACCGTATCTGGACCGAAAGATCAACTGCCGCCACACTCTCTCTTGCCCACTAAGATGCTATGGCGATCCCTTCTAGTGGCTACTATTTCGTCCCATCCATGGCTGTTGACTCCAGTATTGAGGACACTCTCTGTCCTCGCTCACCCTCGAGTATCTCTCTTGGATGTGAATAAGAATGCCATACTCCGCGGGATCCTAAAAACAACCTTCTACAACCACTTCTGTGCTGGGGAGAACGCTGCCGAAGTCACTGGTACGATTGACCGGATCAAGCACATGGGTTTTAAAGGAGTCATCCTCACGTACGCTCGAGAAATTGTGGTCGACGCTTCGTCCCAAAAGGCCGATAATGCTACCACGACCAATGAGAAGGCAAGAGCACAAACGACAAAGAGCGCTGAGATTGAAGCCTGGAGACAAGGGGTCCTGGAGACGGTCGAAATGGTGGGAACTGATGACTTCTTGGCCCTAAAGTGAGTTGATTACATGTCAAGCTATTCGCTTAAAGGCTAACATGATGCTTCTAGACTCACTGGGGCAGGTCCTCAAGTAATGCACACGCTCTCTTCCAATCAACCCTTACCGGAGCAGATGGTGCTTGCTTTGCAGGATGTCTGCACTCGCGTCATAGAGCGTAATGCGCGCATCTTTGTCGATGCAGAGCAGCAGTCTGTCCAACCCGGTATCGACGCTGTTGCTCTAGACCTAATGCGTTGCTACAATCAAAATGGTACTGCTGTGGTATACAATACTTACCAAGCGTATCTCAAGTCGACTCCCGAGAATCTTCTTTCCCATCTGAATATCGCAGAGAATGAAGGTTTCACCTGGGCGTGAAGCTAGTCCGAGGCGCATATATCAACTCCGAGCCACGCCATCTGATTAATGATACAAAATCGGGTACAGACGACTCATACAATGCAATCGCAGCTGGAATTCTGCGTCGCCAATACGGCCCTTTTGGGGTTGAGCGACAATTCCCTTCCAGCGAGCTGTTTCTTGCTACACATAACAAGGACAGTGCTCTGGCAGCCGACTCCTTGTACAAAGCACGACTCGCCGCTGGGCAACCGACTACTAAGGTACAGTATGGACAATTGCTGGGGATGGCGGACGAGGTCAGCTGTCGTCTGTTACAGCTTCATGATGACAGCAGCCAAGCGGCCCGAAAGGCGTCTCCTGAAGTATACAAGTGCCTTAGTTGGGGAACTCTGGGGGATTGTCTGTCTTACCTTCTGCGCCGGGCCGTGGAGAACCGTGATGCGGTAGGGCGGACGAAGCAGGAATATTTTGCTCTCAAGACGGAGGTCAAGCGTCGGATAACGAATATGTTTAGTCTTCGATGGTAGTTTACTCTAGAATTCCACTTTTGTCTCGCGATTCCTTCGTGCGGGCCTCTCAATCAATGTACAGTAGTAAATGTCGGGGCGCATAGTAGCCCGATATCTCGGTAAAAAAAGCCGAAAGAGCAAACCAACCTTTGGCACTGCAAGGCGTACTGCTAAAGCTCCAATACCAGTCCATATCTTCAAACTGTTATACTGAGGGAAATGTACCTTGAATCTTGGGTTCAAGTTTATAGCGATGAATAATAGTTAACTATGTAGGGTTAGCCAATTTAGTCACATCCTAGATTGATTTAATCCCGGGATCTCTTCCGACGTAAACCCCGCCTCCCACTCAAACAGCCTCAACTGTCTTGATTGTTCACGATACCTATGGATTCTTTCGCTCATAGAGGTATTCCAAGATACTAGTATTGTGGAATACCCAGTATTTCAGTCCAATGACCCTCATGACAGCATTTTGATCTGCCCCGAAAGACAAAAAATGGTGACTACCAATCCGCGCGCGGCCAATGCGTGAGTCCCGATAAGCCCTCGGAGGTTCCCCCGATGGCCAATCCACGCCGTACAGTACGGTATCATACTGACCTTCTATAGATGTGAATCGTGCCGCCGACGGAAGGTGAAATGCTCAGGGGATCAGCCCTGTCGCAGCTGCGTTAGGCATAACTGGGAATGTGTGCCTGGCCATGCCGGCCGTAGAAAGTATTCTGAAGCGTATGTCCTTCCTCCTCTTCTTTCCCAGACAATGCGGTCTTTTCGTTGACAGCTCAATACATAGACATGTCAAGAATCTACTAGATAAGATTCAATTATATGAAGAGCAACTTAGTGCTCTTTCGCAAGGTATGTGGGATGCGATGCTCTCGATTCACGGACAAATCATGACTTGGAAGGATAGCAGCTCCCCCTACCACATCAGGTACCGGCATTCGCAATGAATACACAGACGAAGCCGTGCCTTATCAAGAAAGTGACGCGGGGATTAGTCCAGGTAAGCAGGTACGGTGGCTCGTTTGTGATAGAATTTTGGGCTGACTGGATCAGCAACCGACTTGACTTCAGGACCGGCGTTTGAATCCCAAGTCAAGTCACTTCTTGATAGGAACAACCCAACTAACAGCGCAATATTACGGGTCCCCGGTAACAGAAGCTCCACGGAAGCTGTAACGCAATGGACGTCGGCGAGACCACTGGTCAGCGATGATGCCGTGCCGACTATCCCATCTTTAGAGGAGTCACAGCATCTACTCGATCGCTTTCTCTTCTACCTTGGCGTTAGCCAGCACTTTGTCGACCCTCGTACCTTTTCTGACAGCATGGTGCTGCTCTTCCATGACGAACAAACACAAGAACGCCAGATGCACTCAATCTGGTTCACCGAGTATCTGCTCGTCATGGCGATGGCCAAGCTGATGGATGTAGAAGACCCTTCCTCCCAGCCCCCAGGCGCGAGTCTCTTTGCAGAAGCGATGAGACGGCTGCCTCCGTTGCATCAACTGGGCGAGGAAGGGGCGATTGCTGTTGAGATCCTAACACTCATCGCCACCTATCTCCAGTGGTGCGACCGGAAGCACGATGCGTATCTTTATGTATGGAGAATTGGCGAATTGAAGCCAGGCACAATGACTGACTAAGATACAGATCGGCCTCGCTTTACGACTAGCTATAGCCTTGGGCTGTGATAAACCAGCGCGTGAACAACGCTGTCTGCCTTCAGAGACAGCTCATCGTGTGAGGCTTTGGTGGACAGTGTACATGCTGGACCGGTAGGTCTTTAGCTATGTATGCAAGACTAGTAATAACCTGATGGCGTAGACGACTTTCTTCCGGCCTCGGATTGGCCGCTGGCTCAGATGAGCGACAGTTGCGCGCTGAGCTGCCTCGACAAGCCATCGGGTTTCAGTCCCCCATTGCTTTGGCTATCAATGTTCGCATCGCGCGTGTCACGGACGAGATCATGTCGTGTATGTGTTATCCCTGATGGACAAGCGATACGTTCCGCGTCTAATGCAATATTAGCTCTATATGGCAATACGTCCATTACTCAAATGGAGCTTGTCCACAAAATCCAGAAGATCCTTCAGGATCTTTATGAAACAGGCCGTTCCTTTCCCCCTGCTCTTGTTCTCGACTTTAATCGTCCTCTGCAGACAGTAACACGGACAGGTGCATCGCTCTATCTGATGTTGTTCCAGGTCAGTCGACCCCAGATAGATACTGTATGCCTCTGCCTAACCAGAAGCTCGATAGGCCATTATACTTTGTACTCGGCCAGTTCTTCTGCAACGTGTTCGTCGAGAGGTTCAGATACAAAATAGCCAACAGGTGCTGCAGCCTCTGCCAGCAGCGCTAGGCCGCCTGTGTGAGACGTGTAATGAGGCCGCTACGAAAAGTCTAGCCATTCTTCACGCACTCAAGCGCCAGCAGACCATACGTATGTAACACCCCATTTCTATCCCAGGCTGTTCCGCTGACCATCGGTGTAGCCCGATATGGCTTTTTCGATCTGGATGCTACGTTCTCCGGCGCCTTTGTCCTAGTCATGATGGGCCTCATAGATAAGACTCTGGACCAGCCTCCCCAAGCCTTAGACCAAGCATTCGATGTCCTTCGGTTCCTGTCTCGAGCTGGTAACCTAGCCGCCGAGCGCCGTTTACAAGACATTACCCATTCTTGTTTGCACGTATGGCCAAACCATATTCTAGGAGGAGATAAACAGCAAGGCGAACAAATGGACAAAAGCTCACCGAGTGCAATCAATTTATCTTCGCTCGGCCCCAGAGTAGATGCAACGGGCCCTCACACATCGGCTTCGGCCATCCCTCCACAGCCACCACCTCAATATACGGCCGTGGCCACCGAAGGCTGGGAACAGGACCGGGATGAAAGCCGGCTTCTGGAGACGTGGATGCACCCGGATACCGTGAATGCGACGTTTGACATGCAGGTGGACTGGGATTTGGATCTGGACCTTGCGGTGGAGGCCGAGGGGATTTACTCCAGTTTCTTTGACCCGTCGCTGCCGCTGACCGGTGTGGATCACTCGGATTGGTTGGAGATTGAAAAGATCTTTAACGGACAGAATGATCCGTAGGCTTCGTTGGTTTGGTCTGTCGTGGCAACTGTGTAGGTGGCGATTGTTTGTTCGTGTGATGCGGCGCTGGCTTGTGTGTTTGGTTGAGAAGTTTAGATCTTGGTGCAGAAATAGAATATGTAAAGTGCTTCTAGCGTTGCAAGAATAATTGACACCATACGTTCGAATCAAGCGTCAAGGGGACCTTAAACGGGATGCTGGTCCTTGAGCTTGTCGATGGCATCTTGGAGCTTTGCGCGTTCCACTGAGCTTTTGGTGTATGGATGCTGGGGTTTTCTCATTAACTGTGAGAAACAACGGAGATTGATCGTACATTTGGCTCGTTGCGAATTGGAGTCTCAAAACGATGCCTGCCTCCTAGATGACGGCGTCCTCCGCCATTGAACAGCCAAGATAGACGTAAGGAGGAGCGTTTTCCCAAGGCGAGTGACACGGCGTAAGTTAGAGATGCCACAATGCAACCCTTCCTTAGTTACTCCTTTAGTACCACATTGCGTCTCTGGTTCGGTATTTGAAGACCGACAATGTACATTGCTTTCGGACTGCAACACCGAAGTATCCACACTTCGGTCTAGAATCCGACTTGTGGGTTATAGACAGCAGGGCTATGAGCACCTAGTAGTATATGTATGCTCTTTTGGTCAGATCATAGTAATCATTGTCGCATCATGGCTTCGGAACTGAAAGCGAACGAGCCCAATGTGGCTGGTTGGAGGGAGACCGTTACGGATCTCACCGCGCGGGAGCAGCTGGTGGTGCCGCCCAGGTCTTGATCGGTAAGAACCATTTACAATGCGAAAGATAGATAGAGCTCACGGGACTTAAGCCAGCCATTTGGTACGTGGCTTATAGTGCGGACATACATCTGGTGAATGTTAGGCTAAATGGAGTCGACCAGATCTTGTCAAAGTCCGACTCCAAACCCAGAACGGAGGCAATGCTTTCTCGACCGCTCGCAATATCTGGGGCCAAAGAAGGGCCTTTGGCATGTTACACAGTAGGGGATTGTTGTAAGATAGTTGGAATAGACTACTCACCTGACAGGGCACTCTTATGCCGCTGTTAGGCGTTGGGGCTTGCGTAGGCCATCTATCCACCCAACGAACCCACTTTTAGCTGGAACATCTCCAGGTCAGCATTCAATTCGGAGCCTTCCATGGTCTCTGACAAGCCATTGAGTCCTACAATAAAGACAGTCGCCCCGGACATGACGTAACCCTATCCATACCGCAATACTACCTCGCCGGTGCAGGAGCTGGAGTAGCCACCAGCATCATCTCGGGTCCAGTAGAACACATCCATATCCGTCTGCAGACCCAACCACACGGCGCAACCAGGATATACAACGGCCCTTGGGGCTGCGCTCTCAAGCTCCTCCGCACCGCCGGCACCCGCGGTATCTATCGAGGACAGGCGGCGACTCTCCTCCGAGAAATCCACGGCTACGGAGTATGGTTTGCAGCGTACGAGGGCTTCGTGGGCATCGCCATGGGCCGCCAACAGAAGAAACGAGAAGAACTCCCCAGATGCCAGATAGCAATCCGTGGAGGGCTTGCGGGGGAGGCGCTCTGGCTCCTGAGTCACCTATTGGACGTGATCAAGAGCAAGATGCAAAGCGATGGATTTGGGGCCGAGGAGAAATACCGCACCTTGAGAGTCGCTTTTCGGCATACTTGGGCCACAGGGGGCTTGGTTTACGGTCTCGGACCGGCTCTTCTTCGGGCTATGCCTGTGAGCGCGGGCACGTTTGCTACGTAAGTTCTTACCTTTTTTCCAGGGTGGATAATGCCGAAGTGACTCCGAGAATGGGCTAACAGGGGGATATGATAGGGTAGAGGTGGTGCGGAAGTTTCTGGGTTAGGTAGAAATGATAGTAGTCTATGCAATAATATAACCGCTATATGCAAGTCCACCAAGTTTCTTCTCGTATTGGTCGGTTAAGTCTGTATATGGCTCGGTTGTTATCCCGAATTGAACTTGTATTAGCCGCGTCTCGTCGGCTGTGGGGTTCAGGACCCTTGAAGGCCAATACGAGAGTTCGGGTAGTTCGATGTCGGCGCCATCGGCTTCGTTATACGGACGGAAAATTTATATGAAAGTCCCGCCGAGCCGGTGGGGATTTATTAGGGCGGCCGCATTGTGGAGGTGAGTGGAAATTACACCGCGCGGGACCCCCGGATAAACACAACCCCAGGGCTTAGCATTCTCTAGATATTCTCCACGCTCAACGACTATCTTTCGAGTGTCTATAACCTGTTCTAAGTATCTTCGCTGCGATGGCCCTTGTAGAAACAATGTCTGTATACTAGACTAGCTTGGAAGAATTCTGTATCTTATGTCTCAACTGCACCGTACCCTAATATCGCCAAGGATACAGGTCTAATGTACACTGCACTGGTACAATCTAGAGACCCCAAACTCACAATGTTCTTTACTCCATCCAGGAATTGCTCCTAGTGTGGGGTAAAGGGACGATGGAATTTGACCGGCTACTTGGCGCCCTCCATGCTACTATTTATTAGGGCCAGGGTCCCGCCCAAGCCATGAGACCAAGTTTCGACCACAGGGATTTGCCTGGCAGACTCACACGATGCTCATCTCCAAGACCGTGCTCAGCGGGCTTGCCCTGGGAGCGTCCTTCGTGGGCGTTTCTGGTCAGCAGAACTCCACCCGTTGGCCGTTGCACGACAACGGTTTGACAGACCTTGTAGAATGGTGGGTTCAGTCAATTGGTGGGATTCAATGCTGCTAGCTCTGACACCATGGCTATACAGGGATCACTATAGTTTTCTGATTAATGGTCAAAGACACTTCGTTTTCTCTGGAGAGGTTTGTTCGCCCAATCTCTTATGTTCTGGGTGTTTCAATGCGTTAACGTTGTATAGTTCCATTACTGGCGTATTCCTGTGTAAGACAAGAGTCTCACAACGGCAGAGCTCGAGCTAATGTAGTACCAGGCCTGAGTTATGGAGAGATCTGCTCGAGAAGATCAAGGCCGCTGGGTAGGTGGTCTCCGATTCTTGGAGCCTTTTCTGGACACGCTAATGGCGAGTTCGATAGTTTCACTGCCTTTTCTATCTACAATCACTGGGGGTATCATAGCCCCAAGGCCGGCGTCTCGACTTCGAGAACGGAGCTCACAACTTCACCGCGATCATGACTCTAGCCAAAGAGATAGGTCTCTACATGATCATCCGGCCGGGTCCGTACGTCAATGCGGAAGCCAATGCTGGCGGTCTCCCTCTGTGGACAACTACTGGTGCCTACGGGAAGCTACGCGATAACGACCCTCGGTACTTGGAGGCTTTGACCCCGTACTGGGCTAACATTTCCAAGATCATCGCCCCTCATCTCATCACTAATGGCGGCAATGTCATCCTGTATCAGATCGAAAATGAGTACGCCGAACAGTGGCTTGACGAGGAGACTCAGGAGCCCAACGTCTCTGGCCAGGAATACATGCAGTATTTGGAGGACGTTGCTCGGGAAAACGGCATCGATGCTCCTCTGATCCATAATCTTCCGAATATGGTAGGGTGATACGCTAGCTTGCTAGAGATACAGGAAATCTGGCTGACACATGCCAGAACGGTCACTCATGGTCCAAGGACCTCTCCAACGCTACCGGGAATGTCGATGTCATTGGCGTGGACAGCTATCCTACTTGCTGGACCTGCAATGTCAGTGAGTGCGCCTCAACCAACGGAGAGTATATCCCATATGTAAGTAACACCTACCGCTCTGTCTTCCTCTGGGGGTTATGCTAATCTATCCCAGAAAACCTTGATCTACTACGAGTAAGTGTGATACATGGATTGCATGAGTGAACACTGACTTACCCTAAATCAGCTACTTCAAGAAACTGTCACCGTGAGTTTTCCCTATCTGAAACTACTTACACCCTCTAACTCCGTCACAGCACCCAGCCAAGCTTCATGCCCGAGTTCCAAGGCGGCTCCTACAACCCATGGGGTGGACCTCAAGGAGGCTGCCCGGATGACCTTGGCCCGGACTTCGCGAACCTCTTCTACCGAAACCTGATCTACCAGAGAGTCAGTGCTATCTCGCTGTACATGATGTACGGCGGTACAAACTGGGGCTGGCACGCCTCAACCGATGTCGGTAAGTTACCCCTAAGTACAATATATGCCATAGATGCTGATGAGCGCAGCGACGAGCTACGACTACTCTTCTCCGATTTCAGAGAACCGGAAACTTATCGAAAAATACTATGAGACGAAAGTACTTACTCAATTCACGAAAAGTATGCCTCTTTGTCCGATATGTGGAACTTCGCCAAGCTAACCTTCCGGACACAGTGGCCCAGGATCTGACTAAAGTCGATCGTCTCGGCAACGTTAGTAGAGGATAACAAAAGCGAGTATGGAGAGACGCTAACTGGGGTCAATAGAGCACGAGATACTCGAGTAACCCAGCTGTTTCGGTTTCTGAGCTACGGAACCCTGACACTGGCGCGGCTTTCTACGTAACCCAGCACGAGTACACCCCATCCGGAACGGTCGAGAAGTTCACAGTTAAGGTTAACACATCTGAGGGTGCTCGTATGTTGCCTCCTGCGTCTGAAAGTCCCATATTACTATGATCACCTGCTGACTCCTTGGAAAGTCACTATTCCTCAATACGGCTCCCAGGTCACTCTCAACGGCCACCAATCCAAGATCCTCGTCACGGACTTCAGGTTCGGCTCGAAGACGCTCCTTTACTCCACGGCAGAAGTTCTTACCTATGCTCTCATCGATGGTAAAGAAGTGCTGGCTCTCTGGGTCCCTACTGGTGAATCGGGAGAATTCAGCGTCAAGGGAGTGAACTCGGCCAAGTTCACCGACAAGGGACGCACTGCAAACATCGAGATTCACCCCGGGGCAAACAATGTGACAGTCTCTTTCATGCAGAGAGCAGGTATGAGCGTGGTTGAGCTTGGCGATGGAACTCGCATTGTTCTTCTCGACCGGTCTGCTGCCCATGTATTCTGGTCTCCTCCGCTCAGCAATGACCCTGCCGAGGCCGGCAACAACACTGGTAAGTCCACATCGATGGCGGTATACAAAACTTTGGTGGGCTCGCTGACACTTCTCAGTCCTCGTCCATGGTCCCTACTTGGTTCGCTCGGCTAGACTGGAAGGCTGTGACTTGGAACTCGCTGGAGATATTCAGAATGCTACAAAGGTCAGCATCTTTGCGCCCAAGTCAGTATGCTCCGTCAATTGGAATGGCAAGAAGACCCACTTCAAGCCGACGAAGAGTGGTGTTATCACCACAACCCTGGGAGGCGGAGCGAAGTTCGAACTTCCCCAGATCTCCGGCTGGAAGTATGCGGACAGTCTCCCTGAAATCGCAAAGGACTATTCCGCCACAAGCAAAGCTTGGGTTGGTATGTTACTCCCTCATCCTAGGCCAACAGTACCCACCAGTTAACAAAAGACCAGTGGCTACAAAGACGAATTCGTCGAATCCTGCTCCCCCGGCACCGAACAACCCCGTCCTCTACGTGGACGAGAATGGCATCCACGTCGGCAACCACATCTACCGCGCCACGTTCCCCAGCACCAACGAGCCACCAACCGACGTCTACCTCAACATCACCGGAGGCCGCGCATTTGGCTACTCAGTCTGGCTGAACTCCGAATTCATCGGCTCCTGGCTCGGCGCCGCGACAGCTGAGCAGAACGACCAGACATTCTCGTTCTCCAACGCAACCCTCAGCACCGACGGCGACAACACGCTAGTCGTCGTCATGGACAACTCCGCCCACGACCTACGCGAAGGAGCCATCAACCCCCGGGGTATTACAAACGCCACGCTGGTCGGACCCGGAAGCTACTCCTTCAGCGAATGGAAACTGGCCGGCAACGCCGGCTTCGAAGACCACCTGGATCCGGTGCGCGCCCCGCTCAACGAGGGCAGTCTGTACGCCGAGCGAGTCGGCATGCATCTCCCGGGCTATGAGTTCGACGAGGCCGAGGAGCTGCCTTCTAACAGCACCAGCCTCACCGTCCCGGGCGCAGGTATCCGCGTCTTCCGCACCGTTGTTCCCCTCTCCGTGCCCTCGGGACTGGACGTCTCGATCTCGTTCCGTCTGACGGCACCCTCAAACGTGACCTTCGCCTCTGCCGATGGATATACCAACCAGCTGCGCGCTCTGCTCTTCGTCAACGGATACCAGTATGGTCGTTTCAACCCGTACATCGGCCACCAGATTGACTTCCCTGTCCCTCCCGGTGTCCTGGATTACAACGGGGATAACACCATTGCGGTGACGGTGTGGAGTCAGAGTGTGGATGGTGCCGAGATGAAGATCGATTGGAATGTGGACTATGTCCATGAGACCAGCTTTGACATGAACTTTGACGGAGCGTACCTGAGACCTGGGTGGATCGAGGAGAGACGCGAATATGCTTGAGATATGACGGAAACTGATTTCTGCTTTCCTCGTCCGCTTACCGCAAATCGACTCTTCCGACTTTGAGGTCTACCATGTATCTCCTTTTTAAATTAAACCCATTTGTGAGATAAGATGTTAGTATGAGAACCAGGGTGGAATCTTAGTAATTATTAAATTATAGTCATCTTCCTTTTGGTCCTGTGGTCAAATTGCTTTGAAGCTTACTCCACAGATAATTGATAAACTGATCTGAAATATAGACTGAAATATTCTGGGTACTCGAGCTGGAAACATGTCAAAACCTTGATCTGGGGGACCTTCCCTCTGTTAACTTCATATGCTGATTGACGGTCTTTATGCAGCTTGGCCTTGGCGGATTTTGGTGGCTCTAGAATTGATAACATTTCAGCGGTGGTATCATATTCGACTCGATATGCGAGACCGTGCTCCGAAGACTTTTGTCTCTACTGAGATGGACGACCTATTTGCTCTTGGAACGATTATCTATGAAATCAGCGTTGGACATCTGTTGTATGCTGATAGATCTAGCAGAGAAATCCGGAAGTTATTGCATCAGCATGAATTTCCAGATCTAGACACTGTGACTCCGAACTTGCAGGTAGTAATCAGAAAATGTTGGTCAAATGGATACCAGACTGCCGAAGAAGTTATCCGTGATTTATAGGCTACGCGTTCTCCCTCATACCCACATCTATTTTGCTTTACTGGACTTTTGGGATAGTGTACGTGCTGCCCTTTTCCCAGTTTCAACACATGAAGTGTTCATACGGCAGCAAGTAGTAGCAATGCGTCGAGTTGCTCAACACATTAAATAATACCCAAATCAGGGCAAACAAACTGCACTTATCCATATCACAGTAGCCTCCAAAACGTATCCATTCGCAGCGTGCTATTTGCAACAGATTGAATGGAATCTACAAGCAGCTCAACAAGTTAGGGCAAAGACCCGCGTCCCAAAAAGGAAAGTCCAAAATCACGGTAAACTGCCGCTCGTGACCGCCTAACGGAACCATGGTTAGATTGATAGATCAGCGGCGCGCGTCGCGTCTGGGCTGATCATCGCATTTCGGCCCAAAACTACGATATTCCGGCACCAAATGCACCGGGGATAGCGTGAAGCCGCGTGTGGCATTCAAGGATGCCTTCATTAGCGACGGTGCCTCGCCGTCGACAGCGGAGCGAAGAAGAGGAGAGCGACGACTCGACAAGCTCGGCAGGCAACCCCACGCCCGCGTCGAGCAGCAGCAAACGGATGCGTCTGGAAGCCCACGACGAGCAAGACACAGAAGATACTGGTAGCGGAACAAGCGATGAGGAGGACGAGGATAGCGACAATGTCAACGGCACTTCGAAGCTATCCAAGATCGCGAAACGCCGCAGCCCGCAACTGACGCAAAACGGAGACCACAATGGAGCCGCCGCGCAGGATGGATACAAACCCGGCGCGATTGTACGCATCAAGGTCACTGATTTTGTGACATATACGTCTGCGGAGTTCTTTCCCGGCCCGAAACTGAATATGGTGATTGGGCCGAACGGAACGGGGAAGAGTACGCTTGTTTGTGCGATATGTCTGGGTCTGGGATGGGGGCCTGCGGTATGATAGAATACTGTCTTTTGATCTATGCGATTGTTGATGCCTGGTAATGTGGCAAGAGCTGTACTAATATAAGGTCTTGTGTTTTAGCACTTAGGACGTGCTAAGGAACCCGGCGAATTCGTGAAGCACGGTTGCAGAGAGGCTACCATTGAGATTGAGCTCGCGGGAGGACCCCGTTTTCGTCGAAACCCGGTCGTGACTCGGACGATCAAACGCGATGGCAACAAAAGCTCGTTTACTATCAATGGGAAGGCTGCGTCGCGCACCCAGGTGCTGAAGCTTGCGCAGTCGTTCTCCATTCAGATCGACAATTTATGTCAGTTTCTACCGCAAGACAAAGTCAGCGAGTTCGCTGCTCTTACGCCCATAGAACTCCTCAACTCCACACAGAGGGCTGCGGCCGGTGGAGAAATGATTGCATGGCACGATAACCTGAAGGAGTTGAGGGCCCAACAAAAGAAACTACAAGCGGATAATAAAGGCGACAGGGATCTACTGGCTAATCTCGAAGGGCGACAAGAAATGCAAAGGGCGGACGTGGAAAGAATGCGACAAAGAGCTGAGATCAAGAGGAAGATCGAGATGTTGGAGCTGGCCCGGCCCATGGCGAAGTACAGGGCAATGCACGTCGAGTTTAAGGAGTTGAAACGGCGGAAAGAGGGCCTTGCCCTTGAGCTCGAAAACCTCAAGGCTGAGCTAGAACCTGCTTTGAGGGCAGTCAATGCGAAACAGCGGTATTGTCTACAAGTCGACGAAGTCGTCAGTTACAAAAAGGCGCGTGTTGAGGAAGCAGAACGTACGGCTTCAGAATTAGGGAAGAAAATCGAGCAATATGAAGAGAGAATGAAAGATCTAGATCGCGAAATAGAGTCGGAAAAAAGGAGCAATGCCCATTCGAAACAGGAAGGGACGAAAATTCAGCAGACCATTAACAAACTCAATCGCCAATTGGCTGAAGAGGCCATTGAGTTCGATGCGGATTGGTATAATGAGAAAATTGTAAGTAGCCTGGAGACCGTTGCAGACAACCATGCTCATCTATACAACAGAGAGAGAAGCGGCGACAGATGCGGGAAACTGAGGAGAAAGCAAACGAAATCAAAGATAGACGAAGGCCACTTTTCGAAGCCTTAAAGGAGAAAACCGACAAAGTCAAGGAGTCGGAACAACATCTGCAGAGACTGGACTCTCAGTCGGGACGACAAGAAGAAAAACTGAAACAGCTATCATACGAAACATACAAGGCTTATCAGTGGATCCAGCAGAATCAGGACAAATTCGAAAAGGAAGTGTTTGGCCCTCCCGTTGTCACCTGCTCTGTAAAGGACGCTAAATACGCTGATGCTCTCGAATCGCTGTTTCAACGGACTGATCTCATGGCATTCACCGTACAGTGTCGCAACGATTTCAGGACGCTGCAAAGGGAACTGAATATCGGGCAAAAGCTGCATGATATCAGTATCAGGACCAGTTCTGTTCCCTTGGAGAGATTCCGTCCTCCCATGTCTGAGGACGAGGTTCGGAGTCTTGGGTTCGATGGTTGGGCGAAAGATCTCATCAATGGACCAGACCCGGTTATCGCCTCACTTTGTAGCGAGAATCGACTGAACCAAACACCTATCGGCCATCGAGATATCACGGACGAAGAGTTTCGCAGAATGGAACAGGGATCGATATCCTCCTGGGTGGCTGGGAAGAAAAGCTACACCATCTCGCGACGAAAAGAATATGGTCCCAATGCGACTTCCACCCGTGTGAGGCAAGTGAGGCCAGCAAGGGTGTGGACATCTCAACCCATGGATGCATCCGCGAAGCAGGATCTGGTTCAAAATATTCAAGCTCTCAAGGAGGAAGTGCGCGAGTTACAAGAAAAGATAGACATGGAGAGGGCAAATCTAGTCCAGCTTGGTCATGATCATGATGAATGTGAACGGGAACGGGTATGTTCTGCATTTGTTTGCGATTTGGTGATAGATCTACTGACTTTCTATACAGCTTGAACTTGAGAGGGAGAAGTCCGAAAAACAGACGGCTCTTACAAACTACCGAGCTATTCCCGAAAGAATTCGTACGTTTCTTCGTGCCTCTACTTGTTTAACCATTCTGACATTCTATATTAGGCCAGCAGGAACTCCGGATGAGAGACATCCAAAGGATTTTCCAAGAAGTAAAAGCCAGGGTTCTTGATATTCGCAGTCGACAGGACCAGATATCCATTGAGAAAGCCGAAGCGACACTTGAATACGCTGTATGTATTATCTTATTCATTGCCGTTCCGCCTCAGTGCTAACCCTAGACAGAACGCGGTCGACCATCTTCGAGTACTGCACGAGGAACTTATCCAGTTAAAGATCCGCCATATTGAGGCCTTCTCCGACGTAGAAATTTTGAAGGATCGCAATACAGAACACAGAGACAGATTGGAAGCTAAAAATGACGAGCTGAAAGAGGCAGTGCAGGAAGTGAAAACCATGTCGGCAGCCGTCAAAGAAATGATGAAGCAGGCAAACAAAGTTGTATCACTGTCGGCGCGTCAGCCCGACTTGGCTGCCTTGCTCGCCACTTTGGTCGATCATACTGTTGACCAACTCGAAGCAGATATCGATTCGGAGAAGGCTCGCCTGGAGCTCACGCATGGTGGGAGCAGCAACATTATTAAAGAATTCGAAGAACGAGAAAAACAGATACAAAAGCTGCGTGGCAAGCTCTCTGAATTTGAGACTCAACTCGCGGAGTTTGACCACGCCATCAACGAAATCCGCGGGAAGTGGGAACCCAAGCTCGATGAGATAATAAAGAGCATAAGTGACGCTTTCTCCGATTCGTTTGCCCGCATTGGCTGTGCCGGCCAGGTCACATTAGACAAAGCAGAGGATGAAGCAGGCGCCGACGGTGAGCCTGGAGGCAGCGACTTTGATCAGTGGTCCATCCAAATCCACGTCAAGTTCCGAGAACACGAGAATCTCTCCCTCCTCGACTCTCACCGCCAATCAGGCGGCGAAAGAGCCGTGAGTACGATCTTCTACCTGATGGCTCTGCAGTCGCTTTCCGCATCTCCGTTCCGCGTCGTAGACGAGATCAACCAGGGTATGGACCCGCGCAATGAACGAATGGTACACGGACGCCTGGTGGATATTGCCTGTGCCCCCTCCGAAAATGGAGGTGGCGGCCAGTACTTCCTCATCACGCCTAAACTGCTCAGCGGATTAGTCTATAAGCCAGGCATGAGGGTCCTCTGTATCTACAGCGGCGAGCATATGCCCAAAGACTACGAGCAGCTTGATTTCGGGCAAGCCGTTCAAAGAATGAGGGCTATACGGGATCGAAGGGCCGAGGATACTACGCAGAGGAGTAACGGCCATGTTGACGTCTTCGGTTGATTTACCTTTCTGGCTTGGAGTAACGGTCTTTTATGATACCTCTTTTCGTTTATGATTCCGAACGCCATACTACATTTGTCATGTGTGTGCGTACTTGGCTGAAGCTTATACCAATGCCTGATACTATTTGTCTCAACTTCACACTGTACATATTGAGTTATACTCAAACCAAACATCAGCCACCACGATCTACAGATATAACTACCCAAGACATTATCGATCAGCGTTCTAAAATCCACCCGCCCCACGCACAAAACCGTACATCGCACTTTAACCTCTTTCAACGCAAACCTTAACCATCCCAAACCCACCATCCAACTTCATCCCTGATTTCCGTGGCCCCGTGCAGTGTCACATCGTCTGCTAAGTGGAAGAGGGCAGTCATAGGCGAAAATCGGGGCCCGAGAGCCTGGTAGCGCATCATTACTGCTCTGGGCCCGGTGAGAACTATAACTTTGTCCTCGGTGGATTTCCCTGGTCGAGATGCGTTGTTTAGGCTAAGGTTAATGGTTTCCATGGTAGAGGTTTCATATCTGACTCGAACATTTTTGAAGGTTTTCAGTGCATGATTATCAAAGGGCCGAATATCATTAACTATTAGGTGTGTCTCGACCGCAAGGGCCCAGTACGAAGTAGATTGGTTGAATGTATGTACATGTATTTCAAGCTCGCGGTCTATTTCGGGTGACTATACGAACGTCACATCAGCTTATAACCTCGGGACGTTTCGGTATACATGTAGAGAAGTTTATCGTGCGGCCGGCATTTCCCCCGGTAAGGAAGTCTCTATGATTACCTAGATATTCCGAACTGTGTGTGAGGGAATATCCATGTTCGGAGGTCACCTTGTATTACGTGCCTTCATATTGTCGGTTACTATATACTGAACACTTATAATCTGGTGGCTGTGGAGAGAATAGAGTGCATCCAGCTCTACAGCTATCATACTCGTCCCCTACACTATTGCATGAGTCAGTTTCATGTAATGGAGGCAACACCATATCTGAGGACATACGTTGGTGGTAGTTGTTGTGTAAATGAGCTTATTTTATGATGAGATCTAAGTCTCTACCTACCCATGATTCTCTCCAGTCGACATCTCACCCTGAACATTGTGTAAGCCATTATTACAACCACATAAGCAGGGATATCCCTGACTGAAACAATGGCAACCCCCTGATACGCAGTGTCTGACCTATCCACTTCCTCTACTATAGTAGGATGCGTACGATCGACAACTAGAACTGGTACATCATCATCATCTCCCACCTAACATCCTCATAGACTTTGTAACCAGCAGGCGAGATTCTCAAAACGCACGAAGTATAGTATGTAGTATACAACACAAGTCCCCGAGAACAGATATCCTGTCACGAAGCCCGATCGATGGCCCCGTGTCCGTGAGTTGAATGCTCATCTCGAGCGCCAGATAACCTGTCCTTGTTGCACAACAGGGCTAAGTCGCTTGTAGCCTGTGTATATTCCCAGTAAGCTAAGAAAGCGACTGATTAAGCTTTTCTGGCAGATTCTGGTAAGCTTGAGGGATAATAAAAATCCCCATGTCAAGGCCCACTGCACGTGTTCTCCCTACTAAAGAGCAGAAGCGCTGTCTGAAGACCGACAGACTCATCACTCTGCAAGAGGTCTCGTATTCCAAGAAAAGAAAAAGAAAA